ACGTCTCTCTCTCTCTCTCTCTCTCTCTCTCTCTCTCTCTCTCTCTCTCTCGGCTCCGTGCCCCGTCACGTCACGTCCTCCGGCCCATGCTCCCGAGAACCAGGAAGATGAGGAGAGTGATCCGGAACTGTCAGAGCTACGCACGTCTGTATGAAGTTCACCAGGGATGTCATGGACGTGCGATAGCCGTGCTTGGGGGCCCACGTCTTTCCGAGGAACCGCTCGTCGCGCTCGGCCACGGGCGGCGGGATCGTCATGGCCTTGGACATATGGCTGCGACCGCTCCCTCTTCCGTTGTCGTTGCTGTTTTGTCCGTCGCCGTCGATTTGTTCTGCAGGTCGGAAAAGAATGGTGTGCAGATGGTGTGCAGATGGTGCAGGGCTACTCGTTCTTTGAGAGACAAACGGACACATTGTCAAGGCGCCGTCTGGAAGGGGAAACCAAGAGAGAGAGGGAGAGCCCACCGCGCGCCCTTTGTTTTGCTGTGCTGCGAAGCAGGAATGTAGGGTGCTCGCGCATCACAGACTGAGACCTCATTTCCCAGCCTGCCGGATAGGCACGTAATAAAAGGGAGGAGCTCGGCTGCACTTTCATTTTTGATCCTTTTGCCATCCTGCCTGGGGTACATGGGCAAAAGACATTGCGAGTGCCAACAATTGCTTCTCAGAATCTCGAGTACACCTAAATCTTCCCGATGCAGTACTTTTCTCAAAGCCGACTTTTGTTTGCGCTTGACTCCCATGTTTCCAATTCATGTTGCACCGTCCGTCCAACCGCCCCAGGGGCCTGCCACCCGATCCCAATTCCGTCCCAGCCATGACAAAGATGTACGGAAGCAAATGCCTCAACCCCCTTGGGTCAGTTCAGGTAGACGGCAACTCTAAACCCTAGAGACAGAGGCAGAGAGAGAAAGGGACAAGGCGCGACGCGTGACGCCGAGGCCCTCTCGGCCCCAAGGCGGGACAAAAACACAAGCACCAGACGTCATCATGAGAATATGGTCGCGTCGGGGAACTTCACCTGGGCGGCCGCCTTGGCCGCGTCCACCTCGGCGCTCCGCCAGCTCTTGAGCGTGCCGACGACACTCTCGGCGTCCGACAGGGTCAGGGACGCCAGGTCGAGGACCGACGCCACGTCTTTGTCGGCCTCCTTGCGTTCGCTCTCACCGATGGCCCTGGCGGCGCGGATGGCGGCGAGCACGTGCGCGGGGCTGTCGGCGTGCGCCGCCCGGAACTCGGCGTTGAGCTTGGCCAGGTCCGCCGAAACCGGCACGGTCGTGAACTCGGCCTCCATGACCTCGGTCACCTTGGCTGGGAGCGATTCGCGGGCCGAGTTGAGGGCGCTGCGCAACCGGATCGACTGCTCGTGCACTCTGGGGTGGTCGGGTTGCAAAGCCCGTGCGGCATTCAGACAGCCCAGCGCGAGCAGGTACTTGTCTGTTGATGTCTGCGTTAGTTCCTGAAACATGTCCTATCGGAAGGGGAAAAAGAAAAAAAAAGGGAGGGATCGTCTTTTTGTGGGTGTTTTCTTACTTCTCCTGATGTACACCTCGAAGCCGGCAAGCTGCGCCTCAATGTTCTTGGGACTGAACTGGAGTAGCGGCAGAAGAAACTTGACGGCATCGTCCAGCGGCGTTTTGGTCGCCGCAAGCTTGAGCCCTAGTGGGTCCTCGTCCTTCTTCTTGGCCGCCTCGGCGTCTGTCTGCTTGCCCTTCTGGCCTGGCTTGTTGGGGTCCTGCTTTGTCGTCTTCTCCTGGGCCTCGCGCTCAGCCTTCTGGAGCTCCTTCTTGGCCTTCTTGGCGGCCTTCTTCCTCTCCGCCGCTGCCGTCTCCTCGCCGCCGGCGTCGGCTCCGTCTGCGGCGTTCCCGTTGACGCCGTTTGAGGATGAGGTGCCGACCTGGCCGTCGTGCATGTCCACATACAGCGCGACGGCATCCAGGGCTACGCGCGAGTAGAAGGGGTGGTCCCGGAGGTGGTCCTCCCACCGGATCATCTCGACATAGGCCCTGATCAGGCCTTTCCTGAGCGAGAAGGTGTGAAAGTCGTACTGGTCCTCCTGCCATATGTCGAAGATGGTGAAGATGGCGTGGAAGCGCTTAAGGGCCATCCCAAGGTTGCCTTGGCGGGCGTAGGCCTCGCCATCCTCCGTCAGGAACCACACCGATTGCATGTCGAGGAGGTCCGAGAGCGGGCCGCCAGGGGTCTCGGCCCGGGTGAAGAGAGCCATCGTCTTGAGCGCCTTGTCGTTCTCGTTGTTGCGCAGCTGGTACTTTGCCGTCTTTGTGTTGATGTACCTATCTCTCTTGTCAAGCTCGCGTGCCTGGTTCATGATCTCGGCGGCCTTTGCCGTGTTGCCATGGTGCTTCCATATCCTGGCCTTGGTCATGTGGAAATCGACACTACTGGGCACAACCTCGATGGCCTTGTCCACGTACTCCATAGCCTTGGTCAGGTCACGGCTGAGGTGGTAGTTATAGTGCTGGGCCATAAAGTAGAGAGCCGCCGCCTTGCCCTTGGAGGAGTCGCCGTTGGCACCAGCCTCGCCATGCGCTGCCAGGTACTCCCCAACGAGCTGCGGCAGTGCCGTCTTCTTAAATGAGTCTGAGTACAAGTGTTTGAGGTTGGCAAACGTAGATGGAACACCCTTGTTAAGCATAGAAGTGAGATATTCCCTTGCATGAGCCTTAAACTCGTCGCCTGTGGATCGGGAACGCGTGCAGCCAAGGTTAGCATTCGCAGATTCGGACAAGCGATGGTGGGAAGGGGGCCGGTTTGCCTTACCGGTCAAAATGTTCAGAGGTAGCCGACGGGCGGCGTCGCATCGGGGAGCTTTTTGGACGTATTCGTCAAAAATGGCCTTTTTAGCAGCAACATCTGCGTCGTCGATGCCCATGGCGTCCATGAGACGGAGGTAGTAATCCTCGTGGTCCGGGTTGCGGTCCAGGAGGGCGCGCCAGGCCTTGATGGCGTCGTCCTTCCTGCCGAGCTTGGTCAGGTAGTTTGCGCGGGCCTCCATGACGGCCAGCTTGTCGAGCACGTTCTTGGCGATGGACTCGAGGTGGTCGAGGGCGCGCTGGGTATCGCCCGTCTCGGCAATGACGGTGTTCTTGTACATGACAGCCTCGGAGTGCTCAAAATCAGCACGAGCAGGGGGAACCTTGAGGCTCTCCTCGTACGTGGTCAGCGTGCTCTCGGCCTCGGACAGGTTGCCGGCGAGCTGGTGGGCCAGGGCCAGTGCGGTCCAGTTCTGGCGCTGCTGAGGGCGGGCCTGCAGCATCTGCAGGCGGGTCTGGATGTAGCCCGGGTAGTCGCGCATCTGGATCTGCAGGATGGCCAGGTCGCGCTGGATCTGGGACGAGTCGGGCTCGAGACGCAGGGCGAACTTGTAGGCGCGGATGGCCTCGTCAAAGTTCTTGCGGGTGCGGTAGAGCATGCCGTAGACGTGCCAGCACACGTGCGACTTCATGTCGACCGACACGGCCTCCTTGCCCAGCACAAAGGCCTCCTCGGTCTTGCCCTGAGCGTTCATGATCAGGGCCTTCATGGCCATGGTGTCGCCATGCTTGGGGTTCTTCTTGAGGATCTGCTCGGCAGCCTTGAGCCCGCGGCGGTACTGCTTGTCCTCGAAGTTTCGGACGACGGTGCGCAGGAGGTTGTTATCCCTCGTGCTGAGGGGTTGTGAAGGCGACATTATGGCGTGTGCGGGAGGAGCCCCGGGTACGGCAACGGCAATGGATCCTCGGGAACGGCTCAGATAGAGACCGTGATACACAGAGGCCGGCTTGGCCGCGGCGGCACGAGGGGTTGCGTCGTGTGTCGTGTGTCGTGTGGGCAGGCAAGTGCGCTGCCGGTCAGCCAGTCAACTACAGCCCAATGCGCCCCGACGCTCCAGAGTCCGGACAAGGCGTGGTCGGTGTGGCCTCGGGACGGCAGGTTCGGGCTCGACTGTTGGGTTGGCAGACTGTTCGGGTGGATTTGGAGGGGGAGGCAGCCGACAAAGACTGGTGGTGAGAAGTCCGAGTCGGCCGTGGCACCGTATTCGACCATTCACGCCTCGGGTCCGCTATTTTCCTGAGTGAAGTGAGCAGAACGAGTGGGGCCTGTCCTCAATCTGCAGCCTCGCGCGTTCCCAAACTTATAGCATATAAACTACACCACGGGCTGGAGTCGAACATGTAAAAGTAATTTAGCTGGTAAGTACCGTCCCAGCTGCTTCTTTTGTTCTTTCTGGCATATGTCAGACAGCAAGTTTAGACAACGAGTTCGAACCAGCGTTGTGAACCTGGAAGCTTCGGATTTTTTGTTGGGGTTTCACGCTTTGGTGCTTTAACCCCACTCTCGCAGGGAAGCTCTGGCCGGAGCTCCCACAATGGGATTCTTAGCTTGGACCAAGTGCAAGAAAAACAGAAAGAACAGAAAGAGAAGGGTTTGCAATTATTCATATTTCACTCTTTTATACAAGGCGAGTGCCGTTTTGATACAACATGATCCCTTGGCTGGGGTAAAATACAAAAACATCAGCTCTGTCTTGCAGCCTTTTGCCACTTGTCAAACGCTTCCTCCCAACTCTCTCCGTCATCGCTCCCGCATCGCTCGTTGATCACCTCCCACGTCCGCCTTCTCACGATCCTTTCCACACCCCGCTCCTGCCGCAACAGAATCGCCAACCTCTCCGTCCGCGGCTCTGTCGGGAAGAAGCGGGCCGAGTACGGATCTAACCTCTCGTCGATTACCCTCTCCTTGTTCTTGGACTCCTCGGCCTCTCGTATTGCCGCCGATGGGTCGTTCGGGTCCGGACTGGTCGCCACCATGGTGCAGTACGATATCAGGTCCGAACGGGTCTTCCACGAGGGGAACAGCACATTCTGTTTAAACTGCCGGCAGGCGGCCCCGTCGATGGGCCTGTTGAGCGGACGCGGGATCCTCTGCGACGTCGTGGACGGATCGAAACCGTCCTTGGCCGGCGTCACCAGCGCATTGAGGTTCTGGGAGATGGAGTCGTCGATTGCGCCGCGCGAAAGCCGTAGGAAATCTAGCCAAGGCGCCATGGGAAAGCAAGGTTAGTACAACGGCGGAGCCCGGTAGGCCAGGGAGACCATGGCGGACGAACCTCTCAGTGCAGACGTAGAGAAGCACAGCTGAGGGGCGAGCGGCGGCCGGTCTGGGTGAGCGGGCATCGTCTTGGGCGCAGTCTCCCTTGGCGCGTCACCTTGACCTGGAGACGGCCCCTTTGACCAGAGAAATGAGGGAGACGCCAGCGTGTCGGCGGGTCCAAAAAGCCGGAAGCAGGTCAGGCGTGTAGCTGGCGTCGAAGCGGCTGTAGCTTGTGAGTCGGGTAGCACTGTCCGGGTGTTTTTTTTTTCGCAAGCTGCTTGGTGATTTTTCGAGAGTGAGCCCAGCAAGAATGACATGGCCAAACCGATGATGCGATGCGATGCGATTTGCGCCTGGGGGGAGCTTGCTGTGCCCCACTCCTTCAATCACGCACGGACCTCAAGCCTAGCCCGGCACTCCCGGGCTCGTCCCGCCCGCTGCGACAGCTCTCCAGGGTGGTGGCATAGAAAGATGCGCGGTTGGGAACTAGGACGGATCCGAGGAGTGGGAGCGTTGCCTCGCAAGTTACGTCCTGCAATAATAGATCTGCAGCAGGCAGCCGAGCTTCTGGCAATATTGTCAACGACCGTCAAGCACTCGTCAGGCATTCAACCGAAAAGAGCCTACTCCCAAGGACCCCTCAGAATGAGCTTTGCCCGAGCTTTGGGACGTCATGCGTTGGTACCCAAAACATTAAAGCTGCACATTTTGTCGCCCGGTTTCTTAGAGGTAACAAGGATCCATTGGAGGCTCATGTGTGGCTGAACGGCTTTCCCTATTGATGATAGGCTGGCAGATACATACCTAGGCAGGCATCAGCCGATCCCCTGATACATAAAACGCCTGGATTTCCATTGATCCGTGACCATCACATCACAGTCCAGACTCACGACTAGCTGTTTCTGTTCTCCACAGATGCCTCGTTGGATTACTCAATTCAATTTCCGGGGAGATCAGAGTCCTCGTTCAGACTGTGGGCAGATGCCCTCTGCATCAACCAGAGCGACATCCCTGAGAAAAACCACCAGGTCGGGCTCATGACCGATATATATCCCCGTGCCGAACTGGTGCTGGCATGGACTGGGCCTGATAAGGACGACATCCTGGCCCTCCTTTTCCAATCGATAGATATGATCAACCGTGCCGTTGATGCCAACGAGGGGGTTCTACCCAAGACGGGCCAAGAGGCTGTGGCCATGTTGCGGACTTGCAATGCGCTTATGCTTAGCCGAGAGACCGGCCCCGACGCCCTCAACCGAAAGGCTGGCTCCGGTCTCCTCAACCCAGAGGTTGGCTCCAGGGAATGGCTAGTGAAACCCTTTTGGGGAGCCGTCTGTGATTTCCTGCGCCTTCCGAACTGGAGACGGGTTTGGATCTACCAGGAGATCATCCCAGCGCAGAAGGTGGTCGTCTGCTCATCAAGCATGACTTGCCCAGCGGAGCCCATCGCATCCGCCATCCAACTTCTCCGTCTCGTCCACGACCACATACGCCAAAACTACTTCGATCTAGACAACAACCTGTCGGCCATGACGAAGTTGATACCATCGGACTTCAGGAGCCTATCCGGTTGCCACGGTATTTTTTCCCAGTACCAGGCCCGCAAATTGGACCCCGAATCACACTCGACGCTTACGGATTGCGAGCTCATGTTTGGGTTCGGCTGCGAAGCGACTGACCCCCGCGATCACGTCTTTGGCGTATTGAGCATGTGTACGCTAGATTTGCAACCCGACTACGCCAAATCGTTCAGTGAGGTGCAGATCGAGTTTACAGCTGCATTGTTCCGATCCAAAGACAGATCGTTTCGGGCTGGAGAAGAAACCCACGGCACTACCCTCTTGGAGTTGCTATTGTATGGCGCAACCCCCAAAATTGCCGCTATTCAAGGGGCACCATCTTGGGCCCCGTTTCCGAGATGCGAACGCAATCCATCACCATACACTGAGCGCGGAACTAATACGGTATTTCGACACGCCGAAATACTTGAAAATCCCTCTGTCGACGGTCGAGCTCTGTGTCTCCAGGGAACACAGCTGGGTGTCATACATTGCTTGTATGATCTGAACAAGGAGCAACACTCTTCTGAAATTTCCCAGGAGCGGCTCCGAGCTGTCCTTCGGTCGAAGCTTCTCCAGAGACCCATCGAGATCTACACTCTTCAAACGATGGCGAGACTGCTTTCCACGGGGTTTCGCGGGGCGTCGGGATATGAGGACCTATATATGTTCTACGCGCTCGCCCTGCTCACGAATGTGGCCGGTGTCGAGGGTGACGGCACATTTCATGACCATGTCCTTTCCATCAGAGGGGCACTCGCATCCCTTGGACTAGGCCTGGACCCAGAGAGCTTCTTCGAGTCTTTTTGCAGGATGTTTGGTACTTCCAAGTACTGCCAGAAAGATAGTAGAATAAGGGCTACGTTGGAAGACATATGGTATCATTCCAACACCGAACGCGGATATCTGGATCACAACAGAAGTTTAGAACGTCATATGTGTCTGCGGCCACCTCCCAGGGGCTTCGAACTTGCCGAGATGGACGGTGGCGAGTTCGGAAACCGACAGATATTGGCCTCTAAAGACGCCCAAGTGAGCGATTCGATTTGCGCATTCCATGGAAGTGCAAGACTGTACGTGCTACGCAAGCATTCGGAAGGGTGGCAGCTTGTTGGCCCATGCGAATTGGCCGAAATTCGCGACGGAGCTCTTGTCAAAGAGGTGGAGCTCCCAGTGGGAACTAGAGTTGAGCGTTTTCGAGTGGTGTGATCAAAGGGAGAAGGGACCGCATGAATGCAATTCTATTGGGTTACAAGCCGGAGTCCTAACACGATGACCAGGGCTCTTGTGTACCTTGACTCGCCTGCGGTTCATTGGCAACATTCGGATCGACTGCGGGAGGTGATGGTACTGGTCTAGCCGTCTGCAACTATCACGAACACGATCAGCTGTGGGTGAAGGTAGGGCCCTGGGGAATGGCGTAGTTGCCCCTCGGTCAGTTTAAACCCTGGCTAGGTACCTACATAGGTACCTACATACAGAAGTAGCTATCCCGGATAACTATTGGGATAGTATCTGCTAGAGAAGTTGGCGCCACAGCCGCGAGAGTGCCTGTTCTTGGCGGGGCAAACTGTCCATACCAGACGAGAATAACTCAAGCGGTGAGGACATTTCGCAGCTGCTACCTCTCCCGCGAGAGAAACTGTCCGACAAGCGCGGCCTTGGGCACTTACTCGCGGCGCTGTCGCTTGAGGTATTGCCAATGTCACCACCCGAGACGGTCCAGGAACGAGGCAGGAGATGGACATTGGGCGATAAGCATAACAACGGGGCCGGCTCATCCAAACGCGCCGTCTCGATTCATGTAGAGCAGCACTTGAGCCCAATTGCGACCGTCCTGGAGCGCTGCGCCATCGACGGTGCAACGCCGGGGTAGACCAAAGAAACAAAACAGAAAACGTCGGGAGCGCCGATGGCACCTTTTATTGCGAAAGCCCACGTCCACGGGCCTCGTGGTGGGAGTAGGAGGGGGGCAGCGGTTGGACATGTGGCTCCCCATAGGGATCCATCAGGGGCAGAGGGGGGATGATGGCGGGGCGCTGGCAGTCGACCAAGACGTTCGTGTCAGGAACCTTCCCGAACCGGAAGAACCATCCAGGACCCCGTCCAACGGCGGCGGAGGTTGTTGCTACCAACACGTCCGTGTCCAACACGATGGCTTGCAGTAGCAATGGGACAGGAACAGGGTGGATAACCCCACGATGTTTTGTTTCTCATGTCTGGTCAAACTCTATTCGCGAACCCATGTGCGCGGCTGGGGCGGCCGGCCGTTTTGCGTAGAGGTAATGGACCAAAAGATAGAGAGCCGTGGTGCCGAGATGGTGTATATATCTCAGTCCTGCCCTCCTCCATCGTCTCTCTCATTCCCTTCTCTCCATCATCCGGATCATCATCATCATCATCATCACATTTTTCCTATCGTCTTTTCCTAGGTCTTTTCCACCTTGGTCATATCTCTCAAGTCTACTCTTCACTTCTTCCTCTTGGTACCTCACCGTCTTTGACCGCCTCAAACCACCACAACACGCACAACTACCACAACAAAAGAACCACAAAGATGCAGCTCATCAACCTCGCCAAGCTCGTGGCCCTGGTCGCCATCGCTACCCCCTTGGTCGCCCACCCCACCGACCGCTCGGCGCTTGAGGTCCGCACCACCACCGGCATCAGGCCGTTCCCGGTCACCATCAATGCCATCAAGCGCGATGAGGTCGCCCAGGCCATCGAGCCGATCCGCATCGACCTGCAGCAGCCCGCCCGGCGCAGCAGCGACTTCATGCTCGCGCCGCGCATGGACCCCTTCAGCATCGCCGCCCTCACCACCACGGGCTTCAAGGTCCTCGGCAGCCTCGCCAAAGGCGTCAAGGGATGGATCAGCGAGTACAAGGCCAAGAAGGCCGGCAAGAAGACCGAGAGTGAAGACACCGACGAGCCTGCCAGCAGCGACGAGAGCGCTAGCGACGCCTCGGCCGACGATGAGAGCAGCAGCTCCAGCTCCGGCGGTGACGAGAGCGCCAGCGAGTCTTCGGCCAGCGAGTCTTCAGCCAGCGACGAGAGCAGCGACGAGAGCGCCAGCGAGTCTTCAGCCAGCGACGAGAGCAGCGACGAGAGCAGCGACGAGACCTCGGCCAGCGACAAGCACAAGAAGCGCACCGTCGTCGTCAAGCGCGCTGCTGTCTGGTCCGCTTAAGTCCAGCTCTTGCTTACTCAAAGGCCTGGTTGATCTTGAGCCCTCCCTTTTTATGTCTTGATATGTGCGATGTTTTTGTGTGTAATTTTGTGTATTTTCTATTTTAAAATAGTTAGTTGTTCGCGTCTAGTTGGCCAGGGTGCCTCGCGGTTTTGGTTTTCAATTTTTAGTTCTAGTTATCTTCAAACCTTCGATCCTACATTCCTTTATGACCTGCTGTGATTTGGCCGTCGGGCCTGAAATCGGAAAATAGTGACAAGTTGATGGCCATGGACGAGTGAGAGTTTGGAGGTAGTCTCGGTCGCCAAACGCGATTCGCATCTGGAACCAACACCTTCCATTCATTGATTTAACTATTATCAGAATACCCTATTTGACCAAGTCAGTGAGTCACTCGTTCCGAGCGCACGATCAGCACGCATTCGAGTTCAAGCCTTGTCCTCATCGGCCAGCTCCTGCTCGATCTTGGCCACCTCCTCCATCAGCTGCCTGCACCTGGCCCTGTCGGCGTCGGCGGGGGGCAGGTACGGCTTGCGGGGCAGCATCTTGCGCTCGGCGTCCTCGACGCCGGCCTTTGAGGCCGAGAAGACGGCGGCGGCGTACTTTGTCATGGCGATGCCGCTCTTGCAGGGGCGCTCGGCCAGGGCGGCCTTCTTGTGCAGCTCGAGCGCCTCGATGCGCTTGGCGACCTGGTCGGCGCCCGTGGCCGCCACGGCCCCGGTCCACAGCTCATAGATGCGCGAGACGGTGCGGGGGAAGACGTTGGCAAAGGCGGCGATGCACCCCGCGCTGCCGACGGCGAGGCCGCCGAGCAAAAAGTCGGACTGGCCGCCAAAGACGGCGAAGCGGCTGTCGGGCAGCTCGGCGGCCAGGCGCACAATCTTGGCGACGCTGCCGCACGTCAGCTTGACGCCGACGATCTGCGGGTGGCGGCGGGCCAGGGCGGCGATGGCGTCCGAGTCGAGGTCGACGCCGTTGCAGACGGCCGGGAAGTTGTACAGCACGACGGGCAGCGGGGTCCAGGCGGCGATGTCGGCGTAGAAGGCGTCGACGACGGCGGGCGTCGTGGCCTTGCCGAAGTAGCCCGGCGGCAGCACCAGGACCGAGTCGGCGCCCGCGGCCGCGGCGTCGCCGATGAACTCCTTGACCTGCGCCGTCGAGTGGCCGCCCACGCCGGCCATGATGGGGAAGTCGGGCCCGACGGCGGCGCGTGCCGCCTCGAGCAGCTGGCGGCGCTCGTCGCGCGTGAGCAGGAACGTCTCGGCGTTGGTGCCCAGGATCACGAGCCCGGCCAGGCCCGAGGAGGCGAGGTGGGCGTAGTACTTCTTTTGGTCCTCGAGCAGCAGCTTGTCCGTGTCGGGGTCGAACAGCGTCACCGCCGGCGCCCATACCCCCGAGGGCGGGACTTTTAGTTCCATGGTGCCAGCTTCGTTAGTAGCGGCAGCCGCGGGCAAGGCCTTGGCGAGCTCAGACATGTTGGCGGCCTGGCGTTGACCGAGGAAGTGGAAGTAGAAGTAGGAGATTGGAAGCCGAAGAAAGGAAAGAAGAAAAGTGGCAGCAGCCCAAAATGGTCCCCTCCGGCGCCGAAAATGGGCACCCGTCGGGTGGTGCTGGACCGACCGAGCCGAGAAGACAACCTGCGGGGTTGCAAGTCGACGTTGAAGTGGGGGGCTGGGCTGGCGTGTTTGTTGTCAGTCAACAGCAAATCGAGCCAACCATCAACGCTGGAACGGCCCGGCGTGGCTGAAACAGGAAATGCAGGCAGGCTTGTCAGCGATTGGTGCTCAAGCTCGGAGCTCCCTGACGTACTAGCCAGGCACCTACAAACCAAGCCATGCGTCTCATTGGCGCGAACATGCCGGGCCCTACCTCTAGGCAGAACCGTTTGCTTCTTGATTACTGGTTGAGACCTCCAAGGAGGTGTTGGCTGAAAAGAAGGTCAAGCTCGGCCCTGCCACACACACACACACACACACACACACACACACACACACACAGCAGTCGAGCCCAGCATCACCAGCTCCCTCGACTACCCGTTCAACAAACCGTCTACCTATTACCTCTAGGTAGCCCGCAGAGATGTGGCAGACAGAGCGCGCCCAGGCCCTGGGCCTCATAGTCATGGGGACCGGCGAGCTTCTCACCAATGTCCTGGGCCACCTCGACCAGCGGACCCTCCTCTGCTCCGCCGTGCGCGTCTGCCACCGGTGGAACGACCTGATCGAGACCGCCCCCGACATCCAGCAGCGCCACTTCTTCAGCCCCGTCCCGCAGAGGGACACCTCGAACCCCTCGCCGCTCGACTGGGACGACGACGACGACGACGACGACAGCAACGACGACGACCCGCCCGTCCGGCTCAACCCCCTCCTCGCCCGAGTCTTCCGCCGCTTCTTCACGCCCGCCTGCACGCCCAGCCACATCGCCTTCAGCGACGTCTTCGCCAGCCCGGCCGACTGCAACAGGGGCGCCCGCCCCCACGCCGAGCTGACCCCCGAGTCCCGCGCCCGCTTCGCCGCCATCCTCCAGCCGCCGCCGCCGCCGCCGCCACAGTCGGGCGGCGCGAGCTGGCGCCGGGCGCTGACGCAGCAGCCTCCCGTGCGGCGCCTGGGGGTCTGGGTCCAGCTGCAGAGCGACTTCCGGCCGGCCCCGGGCGCCCTCGGCGAGCCCCCCGCGGGGACCGTCCTGGCCACCACCACCGCCACCAGCACCGCCACCGCCAGCATCAGCGGCCGCTTCTACGTCGTCGAGTACCCGGCCGGCCTGCGCATGGGCGAGCTGTACGACCTCTGCCTGGGCCCGCCGGGCAGGCCCAACCTCAGCCTGCGGCCCTTCTGGAGCCCGCAGACGCCCGCGGTGTGGCGCCCGCCCGGCGCCGTCGGAGGTAGGCGGCGCCGCCTGGGCGGCAGGAGGAGGTGCGGTGGCGGCCAGGAGAAGGAGCTGGCGCGCGTGCTGCAGACCGCGGCCCTCCATCCGGCATGGCAGGGCGTCGACGGCGTGCTGCGGCTCTTCAAGTCCAGCACCTCGTGGGACGCCGCCGACAGGGTCCGCCGCCTCGATTTCATGCAGCAGTTTGTGTTCCCCGAGGCCGAGGCTGAGGCTGAGGTTCAGCGTAGCTTTTGGTCGAGCCTGCTTTTTGGTTAGAATCCTGGTGGCAAATGTGTTGAACAGCAGATGGCGCTGAGTGAAGTCTGCCATACCTACCATAAAAAGATGACAGTTTTACAGGTCCCAGGGACTAGAATCATTAATGCTATGGTCATTTCTTTTTCTCATCTTTCTTCCTACTCCCCCCTCTCAGTTTCTCCCTGTTATTGTTATTCCTGTTATTGTTATTCCTGTTATTCTCATTCCTATTCTTACAGTCCTAGCAGCCCCTTCGGTGTGGAGGCGTGCGTGTGTCAGGCATCATGCGTCGGGCATTATTTGTTGCCTCTTTTGTAAGGTATACTCGGGGGTTGTACGTTAACCCCCGAGTAAGTCATGTCATGATCAATATTTCACAAAGCGCTCAGCCCCTTTCCGCTTCAATGGCCCCTCGGACAGCACAAGGATAAAGAAAGTTGAAGCCAACGCGACACAAGGCTCGACCCGTCTGCAATTTATGCATTAAATCATGAGCAAGGTCACCTTGGCAAACAGCATGCAACCATCTAATACTACTCCCACTAGGGCGATAAAGCAGCCCGGCCGCAACAAGGGAGATAAAAACCAACACGAGTTCAGCATGACAAGACAATGTGATAGAACAATTCCTGAGAAGCGGGTTCCAGTCTCCATAGCGGTTTTGAGCATTGCATGATATATCCAGAAGGTTGCGCTGCTCGTGCATACATCGTGGTATACAAAGCCGCCTAGTCAGAATGCCCCCACAAGATTAAAGGTTTGGGCAAGCCGAGAAGTGCCAGAGTCTAGCTCAAGTAATAGTCTCAAAGGGAATGTGTGGGAAATGTAGAGGACATGGTTTTTCAACGGTTGTACACGAAGGCGACTTCTAAAGATGGGTAGTAAGTGGGCGGATGACGAAGGGAGAAATAAAGAAACATCCTCGTCTGGGTTTTTTTTTTCGGACAAAACAAAAGAACAATCCGATCGTCCACAAAATCGCAGCGTTCGAAAGCACAGTATCCGCCTTCGTGACAGTGTTCGGACGGGGATAAGCTGCCGACCAACAGAGATTAGATTAAACATTTATCAAGATAGACGCCCCAAATCGTAGATTATTATGTGGGAGGAAATTATCCCGCATTGGGAGTAGGGGGACAGCGACGTTATTGCCTCAGAGAGTAGGGCCGCCAACGCCGACAGGCCTGCGATCATTTTCTGATAGCGACAGCCCTCGATCGCGCTGCGACGCCCCAGTGAGGCGCGACCAGTTTTTCCTAGGTTTTTGTTAGCCAAGGACTGGGTCGGATCATGGATGAAGGATGGGGATTATTTACCATTCGTCGCTGATTTCGGCGAGAACTCTGCTCATAACGCTCGCGCTCGCCATTAGGCCATGGCCCTCCCCCTCGAGCACGCGAACCTCGCAGCGCTTCATGGTCTTCCCTAGCCAGCGCACGTTCTCAACGGGCACGCGCGTGTCCCTGGAGCCGTGATGGATCACTACAGGCCGCGTGATGTCCACGTAACGGAACCCAATCGTGTGCCTACGCTCCAGGCACACGAGCAGGTCCACAGCTGGGTTCGCCCCCGTCGTGGCCAGTTCCCAGATGGCCTGCGTGAGTCGCGAGTCGTATGTCGCCTGCCGCTCGCGGTCCGCCAGCGCCGATGCGGCGGCCGCAAGAACGGCGGCCTCGCGCGCAGCGTGCGCAGCCGATGCTGTCGAGGATGACCTCTTGTGTCTACCGTTGCTCGCCGTCTTTGAATTACCGTTTATGCTCGGTTTGAAAAGATCCATCTCCTCCGCTGCCCCGAGGTCCCCGCGTGGGATCCCCGACGGCTTGTCTCCAATTTCGTGGAGCAGGTTGTTCTCTTTATTGCCATCCGGGCTGGTGCTGGTTGGCAGAGGAGGCATATGCTGGTTCGCCTGTGATCGAGCGGCCGCCTCCTTCTCACGGTCCCCCTTTACGGCCACGTTGGCGCCGCTCTTGCGCTTCTTACGTGGCGTCTTGGGCAAGCTCGACGTGATGCTGCTGCTCGTTGCCGTCATGAAGGAGCTGTTGGCTGCTCTCAAAATGGGTGTCGGCAGCGCTCGCAGAATCCGCTGCGACGTGGGTATTGCGTTTGTGGGTGGTAACGGCGTCTGCGCCGAGGCCCCAAAGACAGACATCTGCGACGGCGGGATCCACGGCGCCAAAAGGTGGATCCGACCTCTAATGTGCTGGGGCATGCGCAATGCGGTTGCCAACGCATAGATGGCGCCAGCTGAATGGGCTAGTATAGAGAACTTGGTGATCTTGAGGGCTTGGCAGATGGCGTACACATCGTCTTTATGATTGTGGGATGGAATTAGCAACGGCGGAGCCAGGATGCGCAAACATGATGGTATAAAATCATCTTACCTGGCCAACCAAGAGGGGTCGCGGTCCCGTCTGTGTGCGGCTCGCTATCTCCCACACCTGGTCGATCTGGGGTAATGAGCCTCAGGCCCAGCGTGAGGGCCAGCTCGTCGTAGAAGGCAGTGATGTATCTTGTTAAACCCATGCCAACACAGCAAAACACGGCGCTCCCCTCGCTGTCTCCCACCTCGGAGAAGGAGATGACACGGCCAGTCTGGGGGTGCCGTACCGTTTGCGAGAGACGGGGAGAGCACATGTACGATTCGACTGCGTCGTCAATGCTGTCGGCACTGGGCGGACGCTCGTACGACACATGCATCGGGTCCGGCGTAGTGTTTCCCGGACTGGCCGAGACGTTCTTTGCGCGGCTGCTGGCGCGTTTAATTCGGGCGGCGTCGTTCATCTGATCCTGCCCCGAAATCCTCCTTCCATCCAGCTCCTTATCCTTCCGACGCGATTGGGCGATGGAGGGGGAGGGCGCACCCTCTTCGATGTCAAGGCCGCCGTGGAGGTCACTCAAGTCAAGGTGGCCATGTGACGACGACTTTTCCCGCCGGCGCGATTGCGGCTCGGCTGCTCCGGAGCTAGAACGAGAGTGGCCATGGCCACCGCTCGCGTCGCCCACAGTCAAGTGATCTCTGCGGCTGTCCTGGTGTTTTCGCACAGATGGGTGGCGGGATTTGGACGTGCTGGTCTGTTCCTCATCCTCTGGAATGGCATCAGCCGAATCCGGCTGTTTTGTCGTCCGCCGCGACGAGTGCCGCCTTGTGCTAGTCCCGGCTTTGCGCAAGCTTGAATCCCTCACTGGAATGGCGCGAGGAGACGTGCTGCCGCGCCGGTCGGGCGAATGTGGCGGGTCCAGGAAATCCGAGGCAGCCATGACAGCATCCGCCATTGAACTGCTCGGCTCCTCGTTGATGGGAACCTCGGCGAGGAAGGCGTCCTGGCGAGGCGGCGCTGATCCAAGACTGAGCCAATCGTTTCCAACGGAACCAATACTAGCCCGCTTCTTGTCCTCCTTCTCCCGGAGGCGCTCTCGGCTGCTCATATACATTAGGCCTTTGTGCGATCGCCCTTGCTTCTTGCCCCAGCTATCGTGTGACTTCTGTCGCCTGAGCTCGGGGACCGGTGGCACCGCCCCACGTTCAATTGAGAGATTGCCGATGCTGTGGGTGTCAGCATCGCGCGACGCAAGCGATCCCTTGGACGACGGTCGCGAGGCAGTACGGGAACCGCCGAGGAGTGACTTTAGCCCGCCGCCGCTCTCCTCCCGGAGAGGCTTGGGCGCCGTGAGCGGGGAGAAGCCAGACGGGGGCTTGGACGTCCGGACGACAGGGGGGGACGCGGCGAGGGTTTCGATGTCGTCGTCGTATTCGTCGGCGCTCCCGCGCGGAGGGGAACTGAAGGCGCCGTAGTCGACGCCGAAAGACCCAACGCTCGCAGACTTGTGCAGCCGAGGCGGCGAGCTCGCTGAGGGGGAATAGGAGCGGGAGGCGGCCGAGCTGCGGACAGGAAGATCCAGGCGGGAGGACGAATGCTTTGGACCCAGATCGAGGCTGGTGATGAGGGAGGAGATGACGTCGGGGCCCGAGCCGACGGGAATCTGAAGGGCGTGGCGCGAGGGAGCGTGGTATGTAGAACGAGAGGGCGCTGGGTGTGCGTCCTTGCGGCGAGGCTGCTGCTGGCGCGAGGACGAGAGTCGGGGAACGGGTGGCACGGGGGGCACTGTTGGACTGTCCATCTTGGACCTGACGGCCTACAGTGCGCGGGTTAGCAAGGAAAAGGGTCGGCGGTCGGATGCTGCGATCTTCCATGCATCTGTCACTTACGACCAGGCGCGCGACCAGGCACGACCCAGTTGCGCAGCAGGCTACTTGGGTTTGGCGGCTAGGGCTAACCGAGAAGGAGTAGCACGGCCCGGGCAAGAAGGGCGAGTAACAGAAAAAGGTAGGTGACCTACACCGTAAGGTGCTAAGGTAGGCGTAGGGAGGTGGTGCAGGTTGGCAACCAGGATGGACCCAATTTCAGCCGTCTGACCTGCGTGTGGTTGCAGCGCGGTTGCAAACCGACGGGAACGCATGAGCACAAGCGTCTAGACGGTCTCAAAACAGTGGCGCCCCTAAAAGTCAAAAACAACAGACCAGACGGTCAAAGCGGAGGGAGCCCTCCCAGACGCAGCGTACCTTTTTTTTTTCCTGTTCTTTTTTCTTCTTCCCCTGCCAGGAATTGCCGGCAAGCAATCGACAACGAATGGCTGCGTTGCACGCGTGGGCAGGACTCAGGGCGTCGGACAGGGGCACAGGGGGCAGCCGATCAGTTAGAAATGCAAGTACGACCCTGAAAGAACGCCCCCGCAAGTCCACCAACTAGCGGCCCGTGTTGTGCTCGTTGCTTTCTAGCACTGCAGCACTGCACCACGCACGCGGGTTGCCGTGATCAACAATGTGTGGATGGGGCCGCAGCAGAGCGTCGCGGTGGTCGCAGAAGTTGGTCGCAGTTGGTGGCAGTTGGCGGATGCAATGCGCCGCAGTGACCGCGATGGAAGTCTCGCTTGCAGTAGCGTTTCGGCGGCGATGGGTGGGGCGTATCAGCAGGCAATCATCATATGCACCTGGCTGATCAAAGTGACAATTGAGAGCTTTGATTCAGGGCTTGCTTGGCCGCGAATTCTATGAGACGTATGCCGTCAAATTAGCACCAAGCACCAGCCAGATCGAAGGAGGGATACAAGACGAGAAAAAGTAAAGAAAGAGTCTGCGAGCTGCTTCCCCCGATTAAGCTCGACGACAGTCGGCCATCCCGAAGCACACGACCATCGAGGGAGCATCAACGCAACCCCAGCTGTGGGCCGGCAGATTGAATATTGATCGATGTGTGCATGTGGTGATTAAGCTCCACCAGTCGGCATGACCTCCCTGCCCGCACCCCCAATTCTCCGCAAGGGAGCCACTGGAGCTACTATATAGAGCCATGAAAAGCAGCAGGTATGTAGGGTGTGCATATCTCGTTTGGGCCCAGCCGTGGAGAGAGCGCAACAGTGAGGGAGGGGTCGCCATTGGCTGTGTCCGTGTCACAATGACAGCTATATCGAATGGCTAGACTCCTTTTCTAATGACGTCTGTGCGTTCATAGGGAGGGGGGTGTGGGAAGCTGAAAGAGAAAAGAAAAGAGAATTGGAAAAGGAAACGAGCCCGCACTCACAACGGCTGTGGGGGAACCTTCCCAGATCACGAGCTGAAGGGATATGGATGCACGCATCGAGGAAGCCGAGGGAGAGATAGCCGGGACAAAAAAAAAAACCTAATCGACATTAGCCCGACAAGCAGACCTAGATGGAGGCTAACGGAAATGGTGTCGAGTCGTGCTTACCAAGAAGGCGCCACAATCTGCCTGCGAAAGGGGCAAGCGCACACCGCTGCCACGCCGTTCCTCGCCGCCCACAAGGCGGTTGCGTGGGAGCCATCACTGTGCGGCCAGTTGCTCCATGGAGGGAGTGCAAGCTCAAGTTGTGCCACGAGAAGAGATGGACCGAGATGTTCCTCCATCCAGGCCGGCCTTCGTGTTTGGAGCCAGGCATTATCCGAGCTCTATCCCCACTGGGCAAGCCTCCTGGCCAGTGCAACCCTTGTTGGGCCGCGATCAGGGCGGTCGAGTAAAATTCCCGTGATCGATACTTTGTTAGCTCAGCCTTGTCGAGACATGGCGATGCCTCGCAAGCTGGGAATACATCACGACCTAAGGTACAAGTTACCGTCGGCCCCACTCGTGCTGTAGCGGAATAACGAGACTCTGAAGCTGACGACGTCAATTGCTACCTACGTCATGACATCTGCAGGCTGGAAAAAGGCCTCATTGCTTGGGGTGATATCGTCAAGCTGCCCTTCAGCACATCGGGTTGGAATAATCATGGAGGGTTTCGCCGACCCGTGGTTCTCACCTTCGGGGAAGCAAGGGGAGAAGGCCGGTCAGCCTTTTGACATGGTGCTTGGGCCACATGGAGTCCAATCCAGCCAGTGATGAAAAAGAGGGCCCCATTTAAAAATGGAAAAAAATGTCCGAAGCAATGGATCCACCCAACGTAGCATCCAATACGACCCTCACCGAACTCCAAGTGAGCACGGCCAGCCGCATGCTGTCCTCGATCGTCCCCGTCACCGAAGCGACATTGCATCGTGGGCAGCAACAATGATTTTGTGGAAACCCTCTGGGTGCGAAACAAGGCCAAGCCCACGTTTCCCACGGTGCTGGTACGGCAGGCATTGATGACGCGGGGATGCGTACTGGACCTACGTACGTCGGATGGCATATCAAAATGACGATCCGAGGAACGCGTTGAGGCAACCTGCCCCTACAGGGACAACGAATGGGGATAGGCGCGCTGTCATGTGATATCGACTGGATGTTGGCCAGCTGCAAATTACGAGCCTGTCTTGGTGCCTAATGAGAGTCCGGAGGGTGGGCGGCTTAGCTAAGAGCGATCGTCTTGTTTGCCATTTGCCAGGATGTGCGAGACGACGTCATCACTCTGCCAAGCCAACTTGAATGGTGAGGCCGGGCAGCGACATCCATGATGGGCTGCAAGATGCAGGAATACCAACGTCCACCTCGCTGTTTCGAGTGAAGGGCAGACTTGTGGTATCTCATCCCGGAACCACACACCTACATGGTGGAAGAATCTCCAACATATCACACCCTGCCCCAAGCCGAGCCGTGCAGTCACGTTCCTCGCCATCACAACCAAGTGATCCCAAAAATAATCTTGCGCATGCCACCAAGCACACCCCGGCCGGCAACATGGACATCCTGCTCTCCCTCCCGATAGCCTCCTACTTCCTGGCACCGGGCGTGACCTCGTGGTCCACGTCGCTCAACCTCCTCTTCTTCTACATGACCTGGACCACCCTCGTCCTGTCGCACAGCCCGCTCCGCATCGAGCTGGTCGGCACCCTCGCCGTCCGCCTGGGTTTGTACCTGGCCCCGGCCCTGCTCTCCCTCGCCTTCGACTCCTTGCTCCCCAGCCTGGCGGGGGGCGTCAAGGTGGGCGGGGCCGCGTCCCTGCCGCCTCGCGACCCGGCCGTCCTCGCGCGCGCCCTCGGCCTCGCCGTCGCGAACCTGGCCCTCGAGGCCGCCGCGCAGGCCGCCGTCGGCCTGGCCCACTCCGCCCTCCGCCCCGCCGCCGGGCCCGTGTTCCCCACCACGTCGACCCTGCCGCTGCCCTGGGGCATCGTCAAGCACGTGGCGCTGCTGCTGGCCATGCGCGAGTGCCTCACCTACACCATCCACCGCCACATCCTGCACTCCTCCTCCTCCTCCTTCTCCCCTTCCCGGAGAGGCAGCAGCGGCGGCGGCAACAACCGGCTCAGGAGGTGGCACGCCGGCTGGGGCGCGCACGCCCGCAGCCGCGCCCGCGCCGCGCCCTACGCGCTGCTGCTGGCCGCCGACCACCCGGCCAGCTTCCTGCTGCACCGCTTCGCGCCGCTGTACGCGCCCGCGCTGCTGCTGCGCCCGCACCTGCTGACCTTCCTGCTCTTCGCCGCCCTCGTCACCGCCGAGGAGACGCTGGCCATGTCGGGATATAGCGTCGTACCGGGCATCGTCATGGGCGGCATTGCCAGGCGGACCTCTGCGCACTTTTGCGGCGCTGGCGCCGGCAACTACGGCGCTTGGGGCCTGCTGGACTGGGCCTGCGGCACGAACCTGGGCCGCGACGTCGTGGACGACGTCAAGGACGAGGCCGAAAAGCACCGTGTCAAGGAGCGTGGGGAGAGCGCTGCCAATAGTGGCATGAGTTTCATTCAGCAGGGGATCGAGGGGGTTAGGAGGTCCAAGAGGACGAGGAAAACGAGAACTGTGAGTTGAATGCCCACTGTCCGTTATTTTCCTTGTCAGGATATGTATCTCACCGCTTTGGAAGGATGCTTGGAGTTGGTTGAGGCGTATTTGGTGATTCCGGCGACTTTGCTAGTTTCCTCGCATTTCCTAAGCTATTTTTCATCAATGCAATGTTCAAAAACTTAGAGTAGGGTCGTATATTCTTAGTCTTGGTATGTGTGTTGGAAAATCTAGGAGACATTGTCTATCATGTTATGGTGCTTCGTGTGCACATGTTAAAGAATATTGCCCGACGCCCCAACCGCCACAAAAGTAGGTCATCTATGCCCAATAGATGATTTGCCATGAAATCTGCCAAGAGCATCTAACGGGACACTGCCTGTGTCCTGAACGCCAAACGAGCTCCTCATGGCCAGCCCTTGTTAGTCTTCAACCACCTGACAGAGTCCAGCCCGGTCTGAACCCTGACGCCGAAGCGTGCGTCCAACACATACGTCTCCCACGCGGCCACAGTCTCGAGCAGGCTCAGGCACTCATCCGCCTTGGTCTTGCGGTGCTCGTCCACCTCGTCGGCGCCCGAGGGCCAGTGGCCCGGCTCGCAGCACTCGGTCCACGCCAGAACGCCCAGTTCGTATGAGACCATGGGCAAGACGTGGTCTTCCCTGTTGCTGATTTTGAACAGAGCACTGTTGGTGGTAAAAGTTAGCTTCCGAGTCAAGTCGTCACGATATGGCCCGAAAAAAAAAGTCCCGGCAAGGCAGGCATGGAGTTGGGGGGAAACGCGGCGAGAATAAATTCACATACCGATCAAGCGTGGTGAGGCCCTGAAGTATCTTCCTGGCCTCCTCATTCCTGCCGACCTGCCTCAGGAAGGCCGCCGTGCCGAGCCCCTGGATGCCCATCTCGTCCACCTCCTCCTTGATCTTGGGCAGCTTGTCCGCGGGGGCTGTGCACCTGTCCCAGGCCAGGACGAGGAGCGCCGCCTCCACGACGTCGGGCGGCATGCGCTTCCCGCCGTTCCAGAGGTAGATCATCTCCGCCGCCGGGCTGGCCCCGATGGCGTCGGCCAGGTCGACCCCGAGCGCCGCCGCGCGCGCCTCCCACTTGGCGAGCTTCCGGGTCGTGAACACCTCGAACGGCAGCTGCCGCGCCATGAAGCGCTTGCGGCCCGCGACCGTCGGCGCCTTGCGGAGCAGCTCCTCGGCGCCTTTTTTGTGCCTCCGCACCTTTGTCTCGAGCTCGGTCCTCTCGGCCCCCGCGGCGTCGGCGTCGAGCTTGGCGAGGGCGTGGACGGCGTCGCGGTACATCTCGAGCTCCGCGCAGCCCGCGATGAAGTAGTATATCGTGTGGCTCCAGTCGTTGAGCTCGATCATGCGCAGGAAGGCGGCGTGCATGCGCGGCCAGTCGAGCGAGAACATGGCGTAGAGGGCGAGCTCGAACGCGTTCAGGGCCGCGACCTGGCGCATTTTGGACTCGCTGTTGCTCGCCAGCATGTCGGTCGCCTCGCTCAGCCGGCGCTCGTTGGCGAGCACGCGCGCCTCCTCGAGCTTCCAGAACCCAGAGTCCGGGTATCGCTCGCGCATCGTGCCGAGCAGCTTCGCACAGCGCTCTCGTGGGTAGCCCACGATCTCGTCCTCGTCTGCCAGCTCCTCGATATCGCGCTCAGTGGGCAGGATTTCGGTAAAAGCCATGACTCCGTGGTAGTAGCCCAGGAGTACCATTGCGGCCACAGCACCCATAACGTTGTGATATGAGGTGCTCTTCCACAGAGACGAAACACCCCGTGCCCGATCGCCCTTGAACCCGATAACGTAAAGCAGCCTGGAAAAGGCCGGGGGCACCATTGAGAGGATGAGAAGAAGGATGCCATAAAACATGTTATTGGCACTGTGACAAAAGATGTCGACCGGATTTGTAAAAATGCCAGCCTCGGCCGGCGGTCCCGCCCCTAGAGGCTCGGGGGGAGTGCGGGCCCCTGAGCTTGGCGTTGACGAGGAAAGCTGGAGTTCGGCAAGCCGCTTCTCCAGCGCCGGCGTAGCTGCGCCTGACGCAGGAGAGCCCCCTAGCATCTTTCCCATGTGGCCACCGTAGCCGGCTGGGGTTGGTGCCTCCGAGAGGGCCTCGGAAGCGTCAACGAACTCGAGGTCTGCGTCCTCCTCGCCACCTAAGCGAGAGGCCGGTTTTGGATCGGGGGCTTTGATTTCGGCAAAGTCGGCTTCGTCAACGTCTCCTGCCGGTGGTGCCGAGGCCAGCCCTGTCGGCTTGGCTTTGCTGCCGTGCTCTCTTACTAGGGCTTCCTCGGCCGTAGCCAAGCTATCCATGATGGCGTAGGCCTTCCTTAGCTTGTAGAATCCCTTGATGGCATCCGTCAAGCTCTCGTGCAGAACGCCGACGATGGCGTTCATCAGCAGGGCGCCGGCATAGACGAGCGCAAACTCGGACCCGGCAGGATAAAGCTGACCGGCCATGGCCCCCTTTTTCTCGGCCTTGACCTTATCGGCCCACGATGTGCTTTCACACTCTATCAAGCGCATCGAGGCCTCCGTCATGACCTCCTTTTCGAAACCCAAGATGGAGCGTATGAATATGCTCACGCCAAGACCCAGCTGATGGAACGAGCTTGCGTCGCCGCGCTCACGAAGCAGCGCCTCGGCGCCTTCTGGGTCATCGTTCATAATCAGGGCCATGGACCGCAGTGCGTCATTCATGTCGTGGGCCTTGCGCTCCTCGGCGCTCCGTGATGGCTCGCCATTGGGGGCAGGGGTGGTTGAGCGGCTTGACGATTTCGATGAGGGCGCCGCGGAGCTGCGAAACCACGATCTGAGAGACATTGTGTAGCAGCTGTGGAAGGGGTTCGAAGAGATCAATGGTGGCAGATAGAGGGGTGAGTGAGGGCAAAGGGAGACAGGTATCAGGTATCAGTTGTGTCAGTCCTAGGACGGACCACAGGGCTGATGCCTTTCCACCCAAGGCCGCGTCTAGGTAGTCAACCAGAGAAAGGATCGTGTAGTAAAGGGGCAAAGAGGAGGAAAAAAGGTCTGCAAGAAAAACAAGAATATCAAGTGGCCCAACTGCGCCAACAACAAACACGGACCGGAGTTAAGCAAGGCACCCGCACCATGCGCCGAGTGGGCGTAAGCTAGGGTTTAAAGGGAAACCGCTAGCTGGGTACAAGTGGGCAGGCAAAGGCGCGGACAAACCCGAGGCAGTCCCCGCAGAGCCTGTGCCCCAGCGCACACAGACCTGGCCTGGTCAGTCGTGAAATAGGCTCCGTCCCAAACAAAGAATTGCTCCTCCAGAGCGGGAAGACGGGGGTTCATGGGCGTGTGCTAGGGTCAGGCTGGACGGGAAGAGCCCTGAAACGCCTCGCAGGCTCGACCGTTCGACACGCTGGGGCGAGGTGGGCTGGGAGTCAGCCGCATGGGAAGGATGGCTCCCTGTAAAGCTGTCGTTATTGACGTTGTGCCTGGTGTCCCGCCCTGGACGGATTGGGAGGAGGACAGGCAATTATCCGGGCAAAAAAAGGGGTCTACTGCTCGTATTCGATGGAACAATAAGAATGCATTCCCCGAACCGTGCTTACGTCGAATGCGTGAGGTGTTATGTGTAGGTGGGTTAGTAGAAGAGGCTGTGAGTGGTGACGTAGGCATCTCCCCCAGTCCATCAGGAAGCCTCACCCCTGGGGGATGGGTGTGTTGCGAAGTGCGCTCAATTATTGGCGAGAGATGACAAGTGCCAAATGATAGGAACCAGTGCGGCAATGATGGGACCAATCACCAGCCGACTCTCGGGGTGCGCTCTGCAGCGCGCACCAGTTCCACGAGCAGACCTCAGTGCTATCGTTAACATGGGGCCTGTCATTGTCTTCCGCTGTATCCATCTCCGATTTAGAGCTGTTGGTCAGATCGACCTACCACTCCGAGTTGTGGAAACGGCGCACTTGGGCCGAGTAAATAGCAATCTCTGCGCTGTCGACATGGGGCCAATTAATAAACAAACTCCCCGAAACCGCCAATCCAGGGCACACGAGAACAGCCAGGGTCGCAGGGTCGGCTCAGGTGGTGCGCGCGCTAAAAACATAGTGGCGCTGGAAAGCACAGGCACAACAGGCAATCGCGGTTTGACGCAACGACGCCGGGGTGGTCCGAGCTTCCAGCCGCATTCCGAATTCCCATCCATCCAGCTCGTATGCCGCCATCCACCATCAGCAGTAGCAGCACCCCCAAAATCGCCGCCCACCCACGACGACGACGACCAGCCAAGTCCAGCCCAGCCCAGCCAGTCGCACCTCTAGTGCTTGTCGACGACTCAGCCGACGGGACATCACAACTCCCCGACACCCGAAGACACCGATTGCGGTTGCCCCGTTCCCCCGACCAACAATCGAGCAGCACAGCGGACGCACAAGTCCCCCCAAAACACAGCAAGCATGGCATCTTCGGCACCGCCCGCCGCCGGCCAGAAGAAGGACGACAAGCCGGCCGACCAGGCCGCCAAGCCCGAGACACAGCAGAAGTCGGCCGCGCTCGAGGAGGACGACGAGTTTGAGGACTTCCCCGTCGACGGTACGTTTTTGCAGCAATCCCGTCCCGCCGGTTTTTTTTGGGAGCTTTGAGGAGGGGGGGTCAAATCATCTCTAGTGGCGAGATGTGGGGAGGGAGCTTTTTCTTTTTCTTTTTCTCTCCTTATCGCTTTCTGGGCAAGCAAAGCTGACCGTCTTCCCATCTCGCCGCCGGATCCAGACTGGGACATGGAGGAGACCGAGGGCGGCGCCAGCAACGAGGCCACCACCCAGAAGCACCTGTGGGAGGAGTCATGGGACGACGACGACACGAGCGATGACTTTTCGCAGCAACTTAAGTACGTTGAGGCCCGAGGACTCATCATCCACACCCGTTTCGTCTTTGATGGGCCATGATCCTGACTTTACATCTACCATCTAGGGAGGAACTGAAGAAGGTCGAGGCCTCGAAGCGCAGATGATCCGGTCGAGTCAACTGTTGATGTGGGCACACGGGATGGCATGGAGGTGCAATCAAGTCGAGGGCCAGACGCCAGGAGGCCGAGGCCGGTGCCTTACCCAATTATAGACACGGCGACCTTGCAAGCCTCCCAAATAATACCAAAATAGAGGTCCCGGAACATTGGTGAATTTCCAACTGACATAGACGTGCAACCCATCGAGCTGTTATTTTACGTAAGAGGCGTTCATCAGTCGTCGGCTGTACTAGCCACGAGGCAATATGCATTGGTATGTTGGTTTCTTTTTTTGTTCAATTTTTTATTTTCTTCTATTCATTAGTAGGAGGACTAAAACGGTCAGGTCGGCCCAAGCTCTGAATAGCTGCTTGACTGCTTCAAACCTGATCCCTTCCAAAGCACGACTGGCCCATTACGGTTGCTCTCGTAGCATCAATCGTGGGAGTAGCTAGGGATGGAAGAAAAAGAATGGTTAAAGGCGTGACGCGGGGGACATGGCCTCATCTCCCCCATCACACCTTCACTTGCTGCTCAGGGCCGTGACACCAGGCAGCTCCTTGCCCTCGAGGAGCTCCAGGCTCGCACCGCCGCCGGTCGAGACGTGGCTCAGCTTGTCCTCGACCTTGTACTTGGCCGCCACAGTAGCGGTGTCGCCGCCACCGATGATGACAATCTTGCCCTTCTCGCAGGCCTCAACTGCCGCATCGAGCGTCGACTTGGTGCCCTTGGCGAATGCGTCGAACTCAAACACACCAGCGGGGCCGTTCCATAGGATCGTCTGGGAGTCGTTGATGGCGCCCTTGAACAGCTCAACGCTCTCGGGGCCACAGTCGAGACCCATCCAGCCCTCAGGGATGCCGTCCTTGTCCGAGGCCGCACCCGTGGCCGCCTCGGCGTCGAACTTGTCGGCCGTGACAAAGTCGACGGGGAGCACGACCTTGACGCCGTTCTTCTCCGCCTTCTTCATGAGCTCGGGCACTGTCTTGGCGCCGGCCTCGTCGAACAGCGAGTTGCCGATGGCCATGCCGTCGAGCGTCTTCTTGAAGGTGAAGGCCATGCCGCCGCAGATGAGCAGCGTGTTGACCTTGTCCAGCAGGTTGTCGATTAGCTGGATCTTGTCCGACACCTTGGCGCCGCCCAGGATGGCCAGGAACGGGCGCTTGGGCGACTCGAGGGCCTGCGCGAAGTAGTCCAGCTCCTTCTTCATCAGGAAGCCGGCAGCCTTCTGCGGCAGGTCAACGCCGACCATCGAGGAGTGCGCACGGTGGGCCGTGCCGAAGGCGTCGTCTAGCAAACGCAAGTCGTGTTAGCAAGGCGGAGGCGAGCGTCTCTTGAGCGCGCAGTCCCTAGAACTTACTGATAAAGACATCGCCGAGCTTGGTCAGGCCCTTGCGGAACTCCTCGACCTTGGCCTTGTCGGCCTTCTGCTTGTTGCCGTCCTTGTCCTTGGCGCTGCCCTCCTCCTCGATGTGGAAGCGCAGATTCTCCAGGAGCACGACGCCGCCGTCGGCGGCCTTGGAGACGATCTCCTCAACCTCGGGGCCAACGCAGTCCGGGGCGAAGGTGACCTTCTTGCCGCCCAGAAGCTTCTCCAGCTCCGGCACGACGGGCTTGAGCGAGTATTTGGCGTTGGGGGAGCCGTTGGGCCGGCCGAGGTGCGACATCAGGATGACCGTCTTGGCGCCGTTGTCGAGGGCATACTCGATGGTGCGCACGGCGCCGGCGATGCGCTGGCTGTTGGTGACCTTGTTGTTCGCATCAAGAGGCACGTTGAAGTCGACCTAGAGGGGCTCGCCATATGTGAGCTAGGCTTCTGATCCTTCACATTTGCGAGTACCAAGGCTGGCGGGTGGAGGAGACAAGAATAGCAACCCATGTTCTTGGGCTCCGGGGGGCAAGGAACATGTCAAATTGGGCGGACGACAAGGGCCAACAGGAAACCTACGCGGATAAGAACCCGCTTGCCCTTGACGTCGACGTCAGTGATGGAGAGCTTGCTGGCGAGAGACATCTTGTGCTGTCTTGTTTTGAGTCTGGGCTTGGGTGTTAGAGTCGATCGATCGCTCCAGAAATAGCAAGAGTCTGAATCCGAGGACGGGAAGAAAAGAAAAAAAGCTCGTTGAGATGGATCAGGGTGGGCTCGACGGCAATGGCACCGCAGCAGTCTATCAGGCCAGGCACTGGAGCTCTTAGACCCAGAGGAGCTTTAAATTGACGCAGTAGCGGAGGAGGGGTAGAAGTGGTGGGGCTCAACCGCGTCTGTGAATTGGGGAATTGTGACGTGATGGTTGGCCCACCAGTTCCCTCGTGCTCTCGACGATTGGCCTCGACGAGCACCGTCACGCCAGCAGTCCGTCTCCTATACGGCAAAGGCCGGAGTCGGTCTTGGGTTCTTTTAATACTACTGATGCCCATTCCAGCTCAGGATAGTCTAAAATCAGCCGGCTTACTCGGACGTTTCTGACTCCACGCCTCATCACCAGTTTTCCTTCCCAACGCACCTCTTCCCTACTATCAGGTGATATAGTAGCTTTTCACTGTCCAATTGCTGAACTGCTAGGATGCATACGCCGGACTTGTGATTTCGGCTGATCAAACTACACGAGGGCGCTCGGGGTAGGGAGATCTACATATGCATGTACGGCTATGTTTTGTTGAGTACGTTCTATATGCAGGAACAAAAGGACCAAACCCAAGACCAACCGTGGGATCCATAGCCCGCGGTCCTAGCTCATCCGAGCTAGAGCCAAACGCCACCCCAGTGGGATAATTGGACAACAACGAAGACATAGGCAAAAAGGATGACGTATGAACATTGGGGCGAAATTTTACACAGCATAACAGCCCTGAATGCCGTAACAAGAAACTTCATGTGGCACTGCATGAACCACGAGGCGAAGAGGCGTAAACCGGATCAGGTCACTGTTGAGCCTGTTCCGGTCACTCCACGCCCATTCATCATGTTCCTTTGGGAGCGAGTGTGGTGGGTGCAGAAGCAGGAGTTGCCGCACCAACACATGCCTCCCTTCCATCCCACTGCGGAAGTGCGGGGACAAACCGCTTGTTTTTAAGAGTAGCGGACACTCGGCGAGTTGGGGAGCTCTTGGGGCTCGTCGGATGCATTCGTGAGCGAGAGGTACGCCGTCCAGGCGATACCGATAGTGGAAACGAAAGGCTGAAATGGGAGGCAGGCATGTGTGAGCAATATCCAAAAATATAACGGCGGGCGGGGTTTATAGACGCACCAGCTGGAACTGAACGGGCATCAGGCGGAAGTTGATGACCTGAACAGCGGGCCAGATGATATAGTTGGCCTTGAGGGTAGGAATATACATGTCGCGCAGCTTGCTCGACACGGCGCGCCGCCCGCCTCCCTCTGCGACCGTCATGACGGTGAAGAAGGCGGCGATACCGAACGGGGCGAACAGGAGCTGGTCCATGGCGACGCGCTTCATGGCGGGGCCGAAGGCGCTCGTCTTGGTTATGGGGAAGCTGCGCTCGAGGAACTTGAACCACTTGAACTGGACGGGCGCCATGGCGAAGCCATAGGCCATGAAGCGCGTCAGGCGCTCAAAGTCAAAGGGCGGCGGGAGGGCCCGCGAGTCCGGGATCAGGTCCCGGTCGCTAAGCGGGTTCTTGCGGTCCAGCTCGTGTATCTCGACCGCGATCGGGTCGTCCTTGGGGTTTGGGTGGAAGGGGCCCTTGCGGTTGGCCCGCTGCCGGATCGCCGTGATGGACTGGGCAACCGTGTCGGCGATGCCTCCGAGGATGGAGTTGGTCACCATCATGGTCAAGACTGCGATAGGGCGGGCGGCTTGTTAGCGCCTCCAACGTGCTCTAGGCGGAGTAGCCGTTTACGGATTCAGAACGAGTGCTAGGAGATTTGGACATACGGGGACGCTCATCGTAGTACGCATTGAAGCGCGAGCTGAGCCGCGCGACAACGGCCATCTGGACTAGGAATATGAGGGCGTTGACCAAAGGCTGCGTGTAGGTGGTCGCGCGCATGTGTCAGTGAGATGCGTGGGTGTAGTTGCCAGCCGAGAGGTAGGTAATTATTATGTGGCCGTCGCAGCGAATTGTCAAGGTGGGGGAGGGACGACAAGGGCCAGGGAGATAAAGTCGAAATAAGACAATAGAGTCCCCACTCGGATAGTCCCCTTGCTGTGTGTATTCTTGACGAGGAAAAGAAGAGGGCGGATGGGAGCGAGGTGGTTGGCAGGACAAGCAGCGGGTGGAGGCGGGTTGGACTTACCACTCGGTCAAAGAGATATTTGCTGCTGGCCGTCCTCATAAACCGACGGCGACTCAGTTCCCAAGTCATGGTGAATGGAGAAATTTGTAACCGAGGAGGAAATTGGTAGCAAAGACGAAGGGGCCGCCTCTTTTGCGAACGAAGGCCAGCTCAAGTGGGCGTGGTGAAGGGTGGTCTGGCGACGATCGATGACGACACTTGTGTCGCCCAAGTAAAAAAGAAATATGGATGGGTAGCCTGAGCAATTGCGGCTCCCGCCTGGCGCTTGGGTGGACCCTGGGAACCCCGCTAATTACGTAGCTACCTAATTTAGGCAGGTATCTGATCGATGGATGTTGGCGTTGCTGCTCGTCGGTTTGATGATCGAGGACCAGCCTTCTTCACTTGCGATGGGTGAGGCAGAGGAGGAGAGGTTGGAGTTGGGGCTGGATTGATGGCCGGGTTTGGGTTGTGGCCAACCTGTTTCCACCAGCACAGTCTGGATACTTTGTCGTATCGCGCCAAAACACCAGCCGCTGCACCGTATACACACGCAGCACTGCCCCAATCAGCGAGATCCATGGTGAATTGCCCACCCCTGGGAACGCACAACGCGGCATCACGAGAGATCGCTCAATCACACCAGCCAACATCGGGTTGAAAATCCAGGCTTATTGCTAATGATATCAAAAAACAGAGCAAGAAAGGAAGAAGAAAACGGCCATGCTATCAAAACAAAGAGAATCCATGCTTTTGTGTTGCTTTTAATTCCTGGCCACTTCAGTGCGCCTTCACATCTCATGAATGACACAGCCCAACCCGCACGTTCCATCAGATGGCCGAGTCTATCCGTGGTGTCCCGTTTTGTCTTTTGCCGTCCGCTCTATCATCGCCCGGGGTATTTAGCACGCCAGAACCAGAACCAGAACCAGAACCAGAACCAGAATGTAGCCCAACCAACGAGAATACATGCCGATTTTTGTCTAGAAATTCCATATCGACAGCCGTCCTATCATTCCTTGGGGGCCAAGCAAAAGGCAACAGACGAGGGGTTGTGAGAAGCATTAAGAAGGTTCAAGCCAAGAAGTAAAGGTGGGCCAGAGGGGTTGGCCACAAGGTAAAACAAATGACAAAGTAGAAAGGTTCAGAAATAGGGAGTGGTTGAGGCCAGGGATGGGCTGACTGTCTCTGTCACGAGACAGCAGTCATGCCGTCCTTCAACGTGTTTGTTGTGTTGGGCATTTGCTGAGCACCGGCCACAACAGGATCATATCTGCAGTGACTGGACATCGGAAATGCTCCTATGCCTCTTGTGGCTCGCTTCGGTCATGCTAGACGAGGCCTTGCGCTTCTGGGACATGTTCTCGAGAGGGCTGCTCTGGAGGTTGCTGTGCATGTCCATGGTGTTTTTCCGCCTGCGGGCCGGTGTCAGGGGGGCTGCGAGGTTGCTGAGGCTATCGCTCCGAACGCCCCTAATCGTGCCCATCGAGTATGCGTTTGAGAAAAGAAGCGACTCCTTGGTCGCCTTGTCGCTTAAAATGAGCTGTTGGTTCACCTGGTTGCGACGGAAGGCCCCGACGGCATCCGAGTTGCTATCAAAATGCGCAAAGAGCGGGTGGATGTCGGGATTGGCGTCGCTGACGGCACTTGCGGCCGTCGAGGGTCGTCGCCCTGGTGTTGACATTACGCCATCGTTGGTGTCGTCTTCCCAGGCGTTGGTGTCCCCTCCATCGCCCTCGCCCTCGCCTTCGTCCCCGGAGCTCGTCTCCTCAAAGGTGACAAAGTCCTCAATCTTCAGACTCTTCTCGGCGTCGTCCTCTTCCGACGCGTCGACCTCAGAGTCGCTGTCATCGGCGAATGCATCCGATGTCGCCGAAAAAAAAGCCTCTGCAGGCCCGACCGGCTGCGTGTTCATAAAGTCACCAAATGTGTTGGATGAGAACATGGCCCCAAACATCAGGGTGCCCGAGTTGCTGAGAATGGGAGACGCCTGAAGCATGGACGGGTTGTTGAACATGTCGAGGTTGAAGGACTCTGGGGATAGGTCGAGGCGGCGGAGTCGTTGGGGCGTGAAAATCATCATCTTGCGAGAGATTGGGTTGACAACAGCGATGGGTTTCGTCCCGGAACTATCGAGATCAAAGCGTCCCACGCGGGGCTTCCCACGACGCCGGGGCTTCGCCGGCTTCTCGGTGTCCGAATCAGAAGACACCTCGACCGTTTGGACGCGCCGAACGGGCTGTTTCCTGCGGATGGGGGGATCGGGAACGTCTTCCTCCGTTGTGTCGCCATCGGCTGAACCCACGCACATTAGCACTGGTGCATGGTCTCTCATTCCTCCTTTCACAGAAACTCACTCTCGTAGCCATCCAGATCCTGGTAGTCGTCTGGAACCGGAGTGGAGGCTTCGCTGATGACGCGGCTGGCCGCTGGGGTAGCCAACGGAGTGTCATCGTCAGAGACATTTTTGACCAGACCAGGTGAGTTGAAAGCGGTCTCGTATGCTTCATGGAAGTCCCAGAAAGAACCCGAGTTTGATGAGTCGTCCCGATCATCCTCGATCTCGCGGCGGAATGCGGGGTCCAGGGACGTCTGCTCGACGAAGATGTCAGGGAAAAAGTCCCCATGGTCAGAGACGTCGGACGTGGTCGAATCTGTATCGCTGTCTGGAACACCAGCGAAGCGGACATGGCGCTCTACGACGGGTGGCTCCTTGGGCACGAAGCCATGGTTCAAGACAGTGTTGTCTTCAACATCTGAGAGAATGCCGTTCCAGCTGGAGTTGTCGTCGACATCTTCGTTGTCGTTGTCGTTGTCGTTGTCGTTGTCATCGGCGTCTGCTTCGTCGTCCTCATCGTTCTCATCGTCGTATACGGCTTCTTCGTCATCGCCATCGTCATCGGATTCCAGAACAGGCCGAGGCGGCAGGACAGGGTGCTTGTTGTGCAGCGCCCGGTCGATTATATGCTCCGCCTCGGCCGCCTCTACATCCTCCTCGTCGTTGTCCTCGGAGTCGCTGACATCGTCGACGCCAGAATAGCCGCCATCATCGGATAGGTCGAGCGAAGATGAGGATGTGTCCGACACGCGGCGGCGCCGCTTGACTTTGGGAGTGGACGGAGCCTTTTGTCGGGCGTTTCGAGACATGGTGTGGGTTATGCAGGGGAGTGGGGGTGATCAAGTATTGGCAGATCGATTGCCAAGCCACAAGCGGCGGTGAACAGGCCTAAGCTACAAATTCGTGAGAACAAACGCACAATAGGGACGGAAGCAGAAATTCGACGACCAGGTAAAAAAAAAAACATGGGCCAGGCAGGAGGTGAAACTGCATACCCTATCAATTGTCTTTGCTACCAACCGCACGAGGGCAATGTGGTATAATCGGCTCGAGATATCACGGCCTTGAGGGCCTGGGAGGATAGTTTTGTTTGGTAGGTCGAAACCCAAGATCGAAGGTCGAGGCAGCTTTTGTTGTGCTTGATTTTTCAGAGTGCGAAGGCCTCAGGCGCGAGCAAAAACGACGTCGAGACCTCTGGGTCGTCCTCCTGTTTCCAGCAAGGGCGAGCAGAGGCTCGAAGACACAAGGGCCTTTGGGTAAACTTCGTCGAGAGAGGTTGGCAGATTTGAACTACTCGTTGAGGCTGCTGGACTGCGGAACGTGCCAGGAGAAATCGGGCACGTCCCGCAGTGGGCGTTCACAGCTCAGCGACGGCCGAAGGCATCTTGGGATCTCGACGAAGTTTGGTTATGTTTTTGATTCTCTGAAAGTGGAAAAGTGCGACTTCGTTGTCTTGGGTTTTGGGGTAGTGTTTGGTAGAGGAAAGGAAGAAGGGGAGAGATCGGAAGGAGGGGGAAGACATCTCCATTTTTTCTTCCAGTCCCAAACTTTTTTTTTGCTCGTCGTGGTGGGGGCTCCAGAGGGAGGACGGCTGCGGCCTCGTTTGGGGAACCCTGCGCTCACCCTGTGGAACCCATCGGGCGGCATTCAACTTTCAAGTGTGGTGCAGCAATTTTTTTTTCTCCTTCGCTTCAGGTCCATTTGCGGGGCAAGCCGATCTGAACGGTTGACAAGAGCCGCCGGGATGGCGCTGGTTTCAGGGGGTTGTCGCCATTGGCTCAGGGCACTGGGGCCTTGGCTTTTTTGGAGCCGCTGTCACCACATGCATCCATCGCCGTCACCGCTATTTCGAAGCTCCTCTGTTCCCGCCTGCTTGCGTGCAGGCGATGCGCTGGAGCTGCGACTGATGGAGGCCGGAATAACCACGGGGCCAATACGACGGTGGACTTGCCCTGGTAGCATTCTTCGTTTTTTTCCTTCCGACACAGCCCACGCTCTCTGTAGCGTTGTGGGGCTGTTGCCTCCAACACTTTATTGAGCCCATGTCTAGAAACGCCTAATTCGAGGAGAGAGTGGCTGCCGAGTATGAATGAGAAGGTTTGAAAGAATAGTAATAATGATGCATTGTGACGAGGAGAGCAGACGTGCAGCCTTACAGTCAGCCAGCTCAGGTTACTCTCAGATCGCACCCCCAGACACCCGAGTTCCAATGCAGACCTGTGGTGACCCAGGCAGGCGGCTGGAGTCAGATGCTCCGTGATGCTGCAGGAATGCGGTTTTTGACTGGTGTGGAGCTTGTGAAATTTGCCGCAAGAGATCGCAGCAGGGTTTTTCTTTCCTTTCTAATGCTGCATGCATGCCATGGTAGGTACCCCATTCATATAGTCGTCATGGCCGACGGTTATCCTGGCGTCGCCACTTTTGCTCCAGACTGTCCTGCTGAGGCCGAGGCTTGCAAAGCCCCTCCATGGCCTTCAAATTAACGCCTGCACTTGTATGAACGGGCTGCATAGGTAGCCGTCGGCTCAAATGAAAGGATGTCGACGTGAAAGGATGGTGAATGTTCACGCTAGAGAAGGGCATGAAGTTGAAGGAGGAAGGATAGGGCGACTTGATGCTGCATGTAAAGAATTTGGGCTCCAATTAGAATTGTCTGAGCTACGGCCTTTCACTGGGTCTATTCACTGCATGGTAGTCCGGTTTTCAAACCCGGCTAGTCCGTGCAGGAATCACATGGAATAGCCTCCTCCAGAGTCGCTGGACAACGACTGCTAAGAGAACGTGTCAAAGTTCGCGACTGTGGTAGGGAGTCGGTGGCAGCTTCGTGGTCCAGTCACGGTGGCTCCAATAATCAGGTGATAGTGATGGATGGCCTAAAATGAGGCGAAAGAGGAGCCTCAAAACGGGGAGGATTGAGGAGACCACTCCAGTCACCTCCATCCTGTATGACCAGTCAGAGAGAAAGGCGTGACTCTCTACAGTGTTGGCCGCGTCTCCGCAGTCAAAGATTGACGTGGCGCAACGCTCAATGACTCGGAGATTTGGCAACGAGCCGTAGTCCAAACAGCCGCGCAAATAATGCTGCGGGGCGTGCCACGGGTGCCATCACCAGGAGGGTATCCGGCCATGCTGTAGTGGAAAGATGTGGCAACCCGGGGGTTGGACATGGACCACATGCAGGCCTTTAGAGGGAGGAGGAGAAATATTAGACACGCAGAGAGGGCTGAATGTGTGGGAGCAAGACATTTGCACAGCAATTCAAACATGGGAGCGACCGTGTCACCCACGCGGTGAGCACATGCGATATGCTGCAATGGGTGAAGTGGTGAAGTGGTCGGAAACGTCATGTAACTTATTACGTGAGCCGCTGTGGCCCATGCTCGATGGCGTTGGCTGCGGATTGGGTTGCAAGGGTCCAGTCTGTGGCTGCAGGGCTGCGGCACCAGAAGGCATGTCATTGCGCCCCACAGCCCGGGCAGGGGGGCCGGGTGCCCGAGGTGGGGAGCTCTGGAGCTGCTGTCTTATCGGCGCTGGTTGCCCGGTAGACCAGACTGGGGCGGTCGCAGAAAAGAAAATATTGGGTGGAACGCGGCTTCGACCTGCACAGCGGTGGACTCGCATAACGGGCCTCGGCAGCGAAACGACGTCAACGCAGCACAACCATCATACTAGTCACGACGCGCGCCGTGTATTCACTACAATCTGCGGAACCAGTCGCTTCGAGAAACTTTGTACGACCCACGCGCCGCCCGTATCCGACACTCGACATCGACGACGCATCTAATCGTAGCGTGTCGCTAGCGATGGATGCCTCTGGAGAGCCATCGGCGGCCAAGGATAACCTTTTCAAGGTGTTCCTGCGTCTTCGCCCGCCTTATGCCGCGTCAGGCGCTGGCGAGAGGTTCCTGGCCGTCGAGGAGCCAGAGTCGGAATATGAAGCAGCAACTCCCACGCACGTCACGCTGACGCCTCCGAGCAACGGGCGGAAACATGCGACGGAGAAGTACTGCTTCACGCGGGTCCTGGAGGAGGATGCGTCGCAACTGGATGTGTTCCAGTGCACGGGAGTGCTGCCTCTTGTCGAGGGCGTCCTGGGCCCTCAGGGAGGAGAAGGAACGGACGCGCTGCTCGCCACGCTCGGCGTCACGGGCTCCGGCAAGGCATGTCTCGCCCGACACTTACACGCCCGACACGACGGCAGATTGAAGCTAACTGTACGGCGTACACAACTGCGCAGACACACACGCTGCTTGGTTCGCGAACGCAAAGGGGGATGACACAGCTCTCCCTGGACGTGCTCTTCCGTTCCATCGGCCAAAACATCGCCACCCCAAACGCCTACGCGTCCCTGGAAGCATCCGTTGCTGCCTCGGACGTGTCCGAAGCTACAATCCTAGCCGCGCCGGCTTTCATAGATACAGTCTTTGCTGACCCACACGGCGCGTCACGGCCCAACTCAAGGGCGCCGACGCCAATGAATGTAGGAGACCCTGACATTTCAATCATGTGTTTGCAGGACGATACACAGAAGTCTGAAGGGTCGGCAGCTACTCGACCAAGAATCAGCGTGCTATGGTGTCCGCCAGGTGGCCTGGACATCCCCGGCGCGTTCCCAGACAGCCCGAAAAGTGCTCGGGTTGTTCAACAGGACGACTGCATAGCCATGTCATCGCCAGTGCCTTTGACGCCAAAGAAGAAGATCACGGGTCTGGCTGCTGGCCTAGCGGTCCAGTCAAGACCCAGGACTCCGGCTCGCCATTTCATGGCCGCGACCGCGTCGACACTCACCAGGAAGAATGAGAGAGCTAAACCCGATCTCGTGATTAAGGGCGAATCGTCTGCACCGCCTCCGACCTCGAACCGACGACTCCTGCCTCGGCCTACAGCGTTCGCAACCTCTCCCGACGTTGGCTCCATCAGTGTAGCATCGGACCCCGCGGCCGAGTATGTGGTGCTGGTCTCCATGTACGAGGTTTACAACAATGCGATCCACGATCTCCTCACGCCGCCGATCAAGTCGGTGGCCACCAAGGAGTACCGACGACGGGCTCTTCTCTTCAAGGCGACGGAGCAGTCGCAAGACCGCAAGGTCGTGGCGGGACTGAAGAAGGTTCTTTGCACCAGCCTCAGCCAGGCACTGATGGTGCTTGAGGCTGGTATTCATGAGCGGAGCGTGGCAGGCACCAGCAGCAACCGCGCCAGCTCCCGGAGCCATGGTTTCTTCTGTGTTGAGGTGAAGAAGCGAAGGAAGAGCAGGCGGAACGGGCCAGGGGGCGAGCCGACCTGGGGAGGTAGCACGCTCACCATCGTGGACCTGGCGGGAAGCGAACGGGCGCGCGATGCCAAAACCACTGGCGTCACGCTGGCTGAGGCCGGCAAGATCAACGAGAGCCTGATGTACTTTGGCCAGTGCCTGCAGCTGCAGGCGGCGGCCGGACAATCTGCCAAGGTAAGCCAAACAGGACTCTAAACGCGCTGAGCCGTCTTTGCTTCGATTTACTAACCGCTCCGCAACAGCCGTCTGGTCTATCTTTTCGGCATTGCAAGCTCACCGAGATCCTGTTCTCCAACACGTTTGCCTCGCCGTCTGGGTTTAGCAGATCTCACGCCTCGCGAAGGGCCCCCCAAAAGGGTGTTTTGATCGTCAATGCGGATCCTCACGGTGACTTTAGCGCAACATCTCAGATCCTAAGGTACAGCGCATTGGCCTGCGAGGTCACGGCACCCCGTATCCCGTCAATCACCCAGGCCATTCTAGCGGCTACAGCTACAAAGGGCGCCGCGCACCAACAGCACCAGGCGAACCAGAGCATGGCCAACAGCTCGATGCTCTCGTTGTCGCCTGTCTTGTCTCCTACCTCGCATCATCGCCCCTTCTTTGCTCCGAGCGGCTCGTCCGGATCGGTGCCTCAGTACTACCACAGCAGCGGCAGCCCCAACATACAGCGGACTTTGTCACCCTCTATCAACACGGCGTCGTCGGACGAGCGGGCCACTATGGAGGCGGCGGCGCTCGAGATCGCGCGGCTATCGGAGGAGCTCGACTACATGCGATCAACCGTCGAGACGGAGCGGTCGCGGCGCGTCGAGGCTGAGTCGCAGCTTCTCTCGCTCGAGGATAGGCTGCTCGAGTTGGAGCAGGAGATCCGCGAGGACTGCATGGTCGAGTTCGAGCAGCGGTTGGTGGTGGAGATGGCGCGCTGGAAGGCGTCGCTCGAGCTCGAGAAGGAGCGCGGCGAGGAGCACTGGGACCGCAAGGTCGAGGTGCTCGAGCGGCTGCAGGTCGCGTCGCCCGGGGGCGACAGCTACGACGAGCACGACGACAAGGAGAACGTGCTCGTCGAGAACCTCGAGGAGGAGAACGAGCGGCTACGGCGCGAGGTCATGGTGCTCAAGCGCGAGCTCGCGGGCCGCAGCCCGACCAAGCGCAAGCCGCTCATGGAGCGCGAGGACCTGGCCACCGAGGACGTCGGGCCCGGCAGCGCCTCCAACTCGCCCAGGGGCGGCAGCGCCGCCGACAGCCTGCAGCGCAAGATGGAGCGCCTGCGCGTCAGCGACAACGCGGGGCGGGGGAGCTCCGCCTCGTCGTCGAGCCGGAATGCCAGTGGGAACGTCGGCCACGGCGGCGGCAGTGCCGGCAGCAGCCCCAGGAAGGTGCGCAAGTTGGCGGCGGCCAAGCGCTGGGAGGCGGCCGGCCAGGACGATGAAATGTTCTGACGAGGGTGAATGTCTCGCGTCTTGCTCTTGATTGGTTTCTTTCCCCCTTTTCTCTCTCTTTCGCCTGTCACCTGGTTCTTTCCGCAGAATCCGGCATGTTCACTTCCCTCTCTTGTAATACTTCTCTTTTTGGCTTGGATGATTATGACAGACTCTGCGGCCCAGGGAGGCCACCCCTTCGTTCGCACCTTTTTTTTCTTTTTGTTGATACGGGCCTGCTTTCCTTTCGTTGGTGGATTATAAGCAGGCGGCCTTTTCTGTTGGCGTATACCCGTTTGTCATGTCCTGGCTCGTTCTCCTTGGGATTTCTATATCTTGTCGTAATACATGGATGACTTGAACCCCCGATCTTTTTCCGACTTGCTCCATTTCTCAGTTCAACCTTGCCGTTTCTTGATGGCACAAATACCTCTTTACACCCTCTCCTTTCCCGCATCTACTAGCCTGTCCGTGTTTGTCCATTTGTCTGATCGCGAGAGACTGACATGCTCTAGGTGAAAGTAAACATAGGCTAATTGTGCAGAGGAAGAAGGCCAGAATGTATGTTACAGAAAGGCAAACTGCGTTGGAGCCGCCTATCCGGTGATGATGGTACCACTTTTCAGCTTCTTCCTCCTTCGGCTCAGGTTATGGAAAGGGAAAACCGTGTTCTGACCCGACAGGCTTACAAATCCGGATGAAAACCTTTCCTTCAACATCATACGCATCCCCTTCGTAAGCGAATGTGGGCGGGTATAGTAACCCGGAAGACGGCGTATGTCTTGAGAGCCATGTGGCAGCTTGGTCCTGGTTGTAGACCACTCACGGGGCGCACAGTCTTGGCTGGCAACCTCTTTATTGATCTCAATCAAACAGCGAGCGCCGCATTTCCAAATCCCTTTCGGGAATCCCTAGCCTGCTGTCGACCTTTGGGCGTAAAGCCGGTGCTGTCGTCCGTCGCAGGTCTTCAAAACGGCACAGGACCCAGGCGGAAGGTGCCCGGCTTTGTTGTTGATAGCGATTATATAGCGATCCCGTCGACTTGGGAAGCCCTCTATCCTGTCGTCGGCCTCTTTCTAACTGGTATTTATGCAGCGGTCGCCCGGCTTAGGGAAGCCCTCAATTCTAACGGCAGACCACTCTCGAGAAGTAGAGACCGGCGGTCCAAGGAAATATTCATATACGCTACGCCTAGGTGAGACACAGGAACGAGAAATGAAGGCGGAATAGGCACGCGGGCGATCCAAGGAGCGGTGCTGTATTCCTCCTCGCGGTGATTAAGAAGGTGTAGGTGCGCATGATGAGGTTGCGACATGGTATAGATATGAGCCGGCGGGAAGGTAGAGAGAAGACGGGCAGGTACTGCCGGCGGTAGGCTGACCATCTTCCAGTGGATATAGACAGACGATGCCAACGACAGGCTGGTGTACTTGGGTGAGAAAACCCCGAACAAAGCCCAACAGATGTAGGTGGGATCTTCTAGTGAAGGCATCGCCAACACCGCAGGGAAGTAGGCGGGGGCTGGAAGACAGAAAAGCCCATCCCTCTTCAATGCCCGTGAAGGAGCGGTGTACGGCCGCGCGGTGCACTCTGCTAGGTGGCCGCGGTGTTGCCGTGCGCGTCGGTGGCCACCAAGGCCGGCGACGGCTGTGCTGTTGGGCCCGACGTGCTCGTGTAGGCCGATCCCCGAAACGTAGGGAATTCCTGGGCGTGGCCCGGCCGCGCTGGCCGGGACCGAGCTGAGCTGGGGGGCTGTGTCACAAAGCCCATGTTGCTGCCGTACGAGCCGGTTTTGGCGGAGGCCGGGGGGACCCCCAACCGCCGGAGTGCGTAGCTGGCAGTAGAGCCGCGGGCCTGTGGGATGTTTGGCGTGTAGTTTTAACCCCCGAGGCTCCAAAGGCACTAGATCAACACCTCTGCGATTAGTTAAAACCGAGTCAGCTTGTCGCACAGGTGGATGTTGACTGCACCGCTTCTTTGCGGGCATTGAAGATTTACAAATGTGAGTTCAACTTACCGCGCAGGTGGCGATTCATAGCACGGCTTCTTCCGGGCATTGAAGATGTAGAGATGCGGTTTCAGCTCGTGTGCTGGGCCTTGTTATCTGCAAAACGCTGGAATGCGATTGGCCGAGGTTCAGGCTTGATGCGCGGCACTCGACTTTGTTTGTTGTGAGCCCAGGGGCATGTCATTGACCGTCATCTGCTGCTGAAGGAGGATGTTGTCGGCCATTACATGGTGCAGTAATTTCGGGTTTTTTTGGTAGGCTGGGACAGCTCCAGTAGGAGCAAGAAGAGAAGAGAGATGTATATAAGGAGAGTATAACAAGGTGGATAGGCAAAGGTAATGTGCATTAATTTAAAGTCAATTTTGAATACGGGGAAAAAACAAGGTCGGGAATCGTCAGGCCATTGCCCTAGGGCGTAAAGGGTTCGCAAAAAGAGGCTTATCGCCACAGGTTAGTTGACAGGGTGATCGATAGTTCAGAAGATCTATATATCTGTGAAGATAGGAGGGCTGGGCTTGACAGAGTCATAGGTGAGTCGCGCATGCTCTGGAGCTCGTCTGTAGACATGCCGAATTGTGTCTATGACGAGTTTCAGCTTGGCCCCTTTTTACAGCAGTCGTCGGTTTGATAGTGTCGTGGGTGAGTCGCACCTACTGTAAAGCTCAGCGGTTAGGTAGGCATGCACGGATTTTATCGAAGCGTTCTCTAGCTTGGTCATTGTTGGCAAACATGGTCTTGCGGAGGCACTGTCCTGAAGTATGCGACATCTATCAGCGTTGGAGCCTGCAAAGGCTCAGCAAAAGCTCAAAGCGCGTATGCCGCAACGGCGGGTGCAGTACGGAGTACGGACTCGAATGTGTGTGTCCAAGACGACGTCCGAGGGCGTGGATGAAGTGGAGGATGACGACATGGCCTACCACGGGGTATGTGGGGATGACGGCGAGAACGAGGAGATGACGTCCATCGGTTCCAGTGAAGATGAAGACGAGTACGGGTTTTAAACGCCTTCACCCATGACAATCCTTACTCCACATAGGTTGAGCAACAGGAGGTGATTTATTGCGCTGAGGGCAGCGTGGCAAGGGGGCATCAGCGTGAGTTTCTGGGAATTAATGAGTCCCCTCGGGTATCGGATTGATGTTTGCATGATTACGGCCTGGGAGAGAGATAAGCAGACACATAGCAACCCAGGTATCTCCAGATTCATAGATTAAAAACACAGGGGGTCAGCCTGGTCCCAGCCCCACGCTTTGTTCTCACTTCGCTTTTGTACATTCTCCATTGGAAACGAAAGACACCAAGCGCCTAACCAAGAAAAATCCGATACTTCGCCAACCGCCTTTCCTCCAACATGTTCGTTTCCCACATCGCGGGAGATACCACACTGGTTACCCTGTGCTTTCGTCAACTAGGCTCGCGTGGTGGACCTCTTGGTAGACTTGCGCAGCAGCTTCTCGCGCTCCTTCTCGAGGTACTTCTTCTGCGCCTTGGCGTCGAGCGCGTTGAGCTCGGCGTCGCGCTTGGCCTTGCGCAGCTTTTCGCGCTCCATGGCCCGCTCCTCGTTCTTCTCCTCCTCGCTTGCCTTTTGGATCTGACGGACGGTCTCGTCACGAACGCTCTTGACCTTGCGGAGAACTTCGGCCCGGAAATGGGCGACCTGGACGAGATGGTCCGGCATGCGGAGGAAGTACGAGAATAGGGGGAGCAGCGACTCGTAGTTGTTGTCGCCCGGCATCCGGTACTTGATGAAAAGGCGCTTGCGCGGGGTGGTCTCGTCGATGCTACATATTACGGATTAGCCGACAAATCAACTTTCAAGAGCTCTCATAGTCGAGAGAAATCCAGGACTCACGTTGTGGGCTTATCGACGGGCTGGTCAGAGACGATGATGTAGTCGAGAAGGTCGCCGGCCTGCTTGGCGGCATCGATCAGTTGCGGAGTCAGGAGGGCGTCGGTAATCTCGGCGCTCTCGCTCATAACACTCAGCCAGGCCGGAAGCTTGGGGTGGTCCTTGGTGTAGGTGATGGAGACGTCGTAACGCTCCTCGCGCAGCTGCTTCATACGGTCCTTGTTGACCAGAGCCCAAACAAAGTTGTCGTACCCGCTCTTGGCATCTTTGGACCTGAGCTCAGCGGCGCCAGGCATGCCGGGGACGATCATGGACTCCTTGCCGTCAAAGGGGTAGATGATGGCCGTGACCGAGTCTTCAGGGGTGGGCACGCTGTCGAGGAAGAAGCTGAGGAGCATCTCGGGGCCGCTGAGGAAGGGGTTGAAGCGCTTGATGAGCGTCATCTTGACGTCCATGAAGGCGACGTTTTGGCGACCAGTCGCGTACGTGGCAAACTCGAACAGCGACGCCTCTTTGAGCAGAGCAGAGCCCTTGGACTCGTTGGCTTGCCGGAGAGCCTCGATCAGCTCATCTCCCTCCTTGGTGGCGACGTCGGCGGCCACGCCGCCATAGCCCACGAGGGCAAACTCGTTGGCCAGGGGCTTGACATGGGCCTTCATCCACGAGCGCGCCTTGTTGCGGTTAAGACGAGCGCCGAACAGGTGCAGGACAACGACAACGGCGATAGACAGCATGATCCAGCCCTCGTTGCGGAACTCGCTCAGCGAGTGGCGCTCGTGGATATTGTACCACTTGGTGTAGGGGACCGCCGTCGGCTGGCTGCCGCCCAGCGTCGCCCCGGCCTTGACATTGGGGGGGAAGGGAGCGGGCGAGGGGTCGGGCACGTCCGATGCGAAGTCGGCAAAGTCTGCGCGCCAGGCGGCGGGCGGGAGTTAGCCAAGATGAAGAAGGCTATGAGCTAGTGCTTGCTTCTTTGTCCCCGGTTTGCGCCCTTGTTGGGGCTGTCCAAGACATGGACGGCTAGGACGCGATCCAGAGCCGAGGACGAAAGCATAATGGCACTTACCAGAGTCGGCAGCGGCAGGCTTCTCTGGGGCCTTGGCGCCACCGAAGAAGTTCTTCACGACATCGGCCATCGTATCTGGTGCTTTCGGCGAAGACGGCTGTCGATGAGGAAGAGATGCAAGGTTCCGTAATTTGGGATTGCGACTTGTCCTTTCTCCAATTCGCAAGGGATCTGGCGATGGGAGCGTCCGTGCACGACAAATGGAGCTCCAAGGTTCGCTCGAGTGGGGTTGAAATGCGGAGTTGCAGCTAACGCCACCAACAGGGAACAAGAGGCTTGACTGATCAATCCATTGTCGATTGAGCCCTGAACGGCCCGCTGCATTTGCAGTAAGACGGCAAACTTGAATCGATGTAACGGGCAGCTGCGCAGGGGAACCGACTGCCCGAGCCCCTTGTCTTGTTTGTCTGCGATGTAGGAAGCTAGGTAATCGATAGGTATATATACCTACCTATATATCTGTAGTCAATCGCTGTTGCTGCAAGTGGATCAGGAAACAGAATCCAGACCAAGATTCAGGAGGTGGCCAATGAGCAACAAAGTCTGGGGCAATTCGTGACTTGCAGGGCAGCCCTAAACCCCCAGGTTGCCCTTGGCAACGCCCAACCGCTTACCACGTTATTCAACCGTCAAGATGGCGGCCGTTTCACGTGCCAAGGACACAAATCACGGTTAGATATTCAGGCCAAACTTGTCCCTAGAGGCAAGCCACACTACCAACCATCTGGAAGAGCATCACAGCCCGTTGGTTTTCTTCCCAACCCCTGCAGAGTCTCTGCAATCCCGCCAAAATGGCTCGCACGCCAGCCGTGCGGACGTATGGGAAGCATACCAGGAGGACGAAGGCCTTGGTCTCACACGACACCATACAAAGTGGCGGGAAGCAGCAGAAACTGGCCGAGACTATACCAGTTGACACTTACGTCAACAAGGACCCGGTGGCAGTACTGGTAGAGCAAATCAGTGTCGTTCGCCTCGACGAGCCAGAGGAGGAAGGTGGGAGTGAGACCACAGAGACGGAGGAGGAGTCGCCAAAGTCGCCTCCGAAGCGGCGAGCAAATGCTCCCTCAAAACCGGCCTCAGAAAAGCCTCAGCTGAGATCGTCGCCGCGGAAGCGTGCATCAAAACCACCACCTCAGCCCCCATCACCAACACCAACACCACAGTCGAGGCTAGAGCCAGCGATAGAGGATGAGAAGCCAGTGGTCGAGGAGGCGGTAGTCGTCGCAGAGGGCACACAGATCGACCACCGAGTACTCGCATGGGCGGACGTTTGCCCGCCCGGCGACCGCATCGAGAAGATCGCCGAGGCATCCTATGCCGAGGTGTACCGTGTCACCAACGAACGCGGCACCAGCATCATTAAGGTGGTGCGGCTGCAGTCGCCCATCAAGCCCCAGACCAAGGCGCAGGAACGGTCCGGCCTGGTAGACGAGGAGCCGCACCGAGAGGATGAGCTAGGCGGCGAGGTCCGCATCTCCGAGTGGCTCGCCGACATCCCCGGCTTCGTCGTTTACAAGGAGCGCTACATCGTCCGCGGCAAGGCCACAAAGGAGCTGCTCGAGACCCACCAGACCTTCCACCGACGCATGAAGCGCAAGGACCCCGACCGTCTTCAGTTCTACCCGTCGCCCAGCAGGTACCTTCACGACACCGAGTTCCTGGTCATCGAGCTCGGTGACGCCGGCTCGTCGCTCGAGGATTTCGAGCTTGTGTCCATCGATCAGGTCTGGGATATTCTCCTGCTCGTTGCCATTTCGCTGGCGAGGGCCGAGTATCAGGTCGGCTTTGAGGTGAGTGTGGAGCCGCCCTGTGTTGGCAACCTCTCCAGGTAACCTCTCCAGTTATATGTTCATCAACTGACCCAAAGTAATAGCACCGGGACTTGCACGAGGGAAACCTATGCGTGCGGCAAGTCCGAGAGCCAAAAGCAGCCGATGCGCGAGACGCAGCATCGCCCGTCCGCTTCGGCCGATCTGGGCTGGACATAACCATCCTGGACTACGGCCTCTCCCGGGCCGAGGACCCGGACCCGGCCGACGACGAGGACCCGCCGCCGATCGCGTTCGACTTGGAGAAGGAGCTCAGCCTGTTCACCAGTACACACGCGCCTCAGTGCCGCGTGTACCGGCAGATGCGCTCGTTCCTCATCCGGGGCGACCGCGCGCACCTCCCGCCGGGGAGCCACGACAAGCCCTACGAGGCGGGCATCTCGTGGGCTGACCACAACCCCTACACCAACGTGCTCTGGCTGGCTTACATCTACGACTACCTGAAGCGCCACTTCAGGGGCGACAAGCGCGCCCTGGCCGCCTTCGGGGCCGAGACGGCCGAGCTCTGGGCGCACCTCGACCCGGACGCGCCGCCGCGGGTCAAGTCGTTCCCCAGCGCCACCGACGTCGTACGCTTCGTCGTCGAGGCCGGCTGGGTCACCGAGGCGCAGCTGCTAGGCGGCGCCGGCGCGGGCGAGGACGGCGTCTCCGTGCTCCCAGAGGACGAAAGCATCATCGAGGCGTGCATCATGGAGCGGGACGACGGCCAGCCGCGGAGGTCGTCCAGGCGAAGGCGAACACAGGTGCCTTGAGGAGAAGGGGGGCTCGACGGCAGAAAGGAGGGCAGCGTGACTCTCCTTCGTCGACCGGTCTCGTCCCGGAATTTTGTCAGCACATGCCACTGATGCCAGTCCTGCGCTTATGCGGCGTGTTGACGCGTGGCCACCCCCCCTTTCTTCAAATATTGACTCTCATATTGTCTTGGATTTGACACCGGCTTCGATTCGAAGCGGTGTGCATAGCATTTTGTTGTTGTTGTTGTTGGCTACCAAATACCCCTCATTGTAGATAGATAACTTGTTAGACCTTTGGGCTTCCGGTCCTTCTTCCTTGTACCACTTCTGGCTGCCCCTCGCATCGCTCTTGCTCTTCTCTTGCTCTTCTCTTTCTAACCACGGACATAGCAATCGGCTGAAACCTGCCTCGCAGAGTCTCGGGAAGGAACGCCGCTATGCCCGTCTGCAGGGCTCGGTGGCTGGTTGTCTCGCGTCGGACAACAGCAGGCCGTACCACTAGTCGCGCCTGTCTGGTTGCATTCCTGGGTATCAATCACGCATTTCCGGGAATGCTCCCCCCCTAGCTAGCCCGAGTTTGGGACGCCGCTGAAGAGGCAATCCCGAGCGAGTGAGTACCGTACATAACACACGGACATTCAACCCGAATTGGCACTGGACACATGCGGCATCGTGAGTGGCCAAAATTAGCCCAACGCCCGTCGTTGCCCTTCAGAGACAGAACACGAGACCACATTTCAGGCAGCCATCGTTGACAAACTACGCGATGCGGCCATGTCAGGCGTCTTGCACACGGGTGAACTCGCTGGTGGCGGGATCGCGTCGAGGTCCATGTCCTGGGGGCACCTGCATCCGACCGGTTATCTCTATTTTCAACGAAAACACGGGACCGCCGACAGGCCCACCGGGCGCCGGCTGGGCTTTGCAACGGACTCGGACAAACGCAACCTTTGAAAGAGGCCCCGGGACGATGAGGACAATAACCAGCAATTTCCCAAGGCTATCACCAGGACACGTACGCGCCGCTGATAAAATGATTTAAATCGATGGAGATACCCAATACTGGAACTATACAATTCGGGGTTCGACCAAGGAGTGGTTGAACTCGAGGGCCAAGCACCTGCGAAGGCGAGCGGGTGATATGAAAGCTGCGACGCTGACGTTGCGTTTGCCCCTGAGTAATCGGGCAAGGTTGCAGCTGCGGCAAACGCACATGGGGACGTGCGGACGCCCCCACGCGCCGCCCAAGACCTTGCTGTGTGTGCGTAGGCACGTAGGGAGGGTGGTAGGCACCTATGTTGGGGCTAACAAAATGTACATTGCAGGTCACCTGGGAAAAAAAAACATGCTCACGAATAGTTAGACATCGATTACTGTACATGCAATAGCATCCCTGTTTTGCCTCTCTTGGGACCGTCTTGTTGGCGCGGTCTTGGCTTGGCCTCGGGAGCAGGCGCGCAGGACAACAAAACGGCGGGTTTGAGTATCTCATCACAATGACGTTACCAGGGTGGGTCTTGTTTTATTTCTAAGAAAACGACCTCTCGGCGCCCACGCTTTTCCCAAACTGGACTTCCCATCCGGACTGCGTGACTACCAATTCTCTCACACCGGTTAAAACTTCCATCACAAAGCTCACGACGAGACAGGCGAAGTGGCAGCTGACATGTGGTCAGCCTGGAGAGGGTAGGAGGGCTGTCAGTGGTGTTCATGTGAAGAAAACGTGGATGCGGCGTTTGGCAAGCAATAAAAGCCGCCGAGGCTGAGCTGAGCATGCCAACCTCGGCGCCAACCCGTTACCCGACTCCGTTTGGTTGCAGGACGGCCGCGGGGACGGGCAGACCCTCCAGTTCATGTGCGGGTGCGGGTGGTATTACAGATGATAATATCGGCTGGGTACATCCCGTTGGGGCTTGTAACGGATACCCAAAAACCATATGTCTGGTGTCTTTGCTGTCCCCTTGCCTTGATCATCGCTGTGCATTGGACGGACTCGGGTCATTGTACCACGTCCCGTTTGGTGTCGTCTCGTCCCATTCTGTCGCCCTTGCTTCTTCCTCTTCCTTTTCCTTCTTTTCCCCTTCATCTTACCAGTTCAGACATATGATGCACTACCAAGTCACAACACAGCAGTTACTTCCGGACAGAGAAGTAAGCAGGGACATGGGAGTGACTTGAACAAGATAACCTTATGTTCCATGTACCAAAAAGAGCGTGAACAGGGGACGAACAGGGGAGCTGCTGTTGACGGTCCACTAACTTGATGCACAGTAGAACGGACGCGTTGCTATCACACCCAAAATAGCACGCAAGGGCGGGTTTCCCAATTGCACATTTGCAATTGCCGTGCCGCGATTGGCCAACACGCTGCTAGTGTACAATGTCGTGCTCTCATCAATTGGGGCGAGTCCACAGTTTGTCCACATCCACGCCAGTCGATCGTGGTTGAATGTCATGACACCATCATACGCTGCCACCTCGACCGCCCACTCCGCATCCAAGGGAACGTGGGTGTATATCGGGTCGGAGTCTGTGGCTGGCTCGGAGAAGCTGTCGAGGCACTTGCACGACCTACACAAGACCTGCAAGCCCCTGGCTAGAGGCTAGATAACTCTCTCCTACATACCTAGCCCCGCCTGGCAACGCTGTGTGACGCGTGCTGGGCCGAGCAGCAATTGCAAAAAGAGCGAGGAGACGTGACGCCGCGTCTTCGGAACCCAGCTCTCGAGAAACCTCGCAGGCGGGAATGGGTGTGGTGGAGGTCACAAGGGTGGCCTAGCATGCGGCACCCACTCCCGCCGCCTTCTCATCCGCCTACCCGCCGCGCCCGCCACCACACCACCCATCCCCATCCCCCCTCTCCTTCCCTTCTCGTCTTTCTAAATGTGAGTGTGTGGGCCCAAGTTTGGTAAGACGACGGACGCGCGCGTGGGGACGCGGCAAGGCGGCTGCTACGAACCTCCCCCAGAGACTTACGGTTAAGCCTGGCCGGCCGCGTGGATTCCATCGGCCAGAAGCGGCTGACGGCCAAGCTCCAACAAGGCGGGAAGGCCAAGGTCGCTTGCAGGGGTGATGTACCGCCTGTCGGTCCGTCCCTGGTGTTCCATGTGGTAACTACTGCCATCTGAGATATTGATCCGAAGGAGATCACTCCGGACGGAGCCTTACTAGCGCCGTTCGACCTTTGTTGCAAAAAGAATGAGAGAGAAGAGAAGAAAAGGAAAAG